AATGCCGTCTGGGCGCTGTCTGTTACCTCATTAATAAAGCCGTGTGCGGTTTGGCAAGCGTGCAATTATGTGTTCATACGCTATTTTTAAGCGCTTACGGTGAAAGGTCTTTGGCAGTGTGTCACAGCGGATAAACAAATCGAAAGTGAGAACGAGAACGAGAATGAGAGAAAGTGAGAGTGTGAAAAAGAGAAAGTGAGACAAAGAGAGAAGAGAATATATATGTAAATCACACGTTCTACTCGCGCGACTGCCTGTTCATTATGAAAAAAATAAATAAAAACCTTTCACATTATCTATTTGATGTTAATCTAAAGATCTGTTGATTGAGAAATGCTTAGCACATGTCACGATGATTATTGCCATATGCAACGGCTCAGTGGCTCGGCAGTTTCACACGTATTTCAAAAGATGTCAGGCATTAAATAAGACACGTCATTCGTATCATTAAGCCATTATTTCCGCCAATTCCAGCGGCCCAGTTGATACATTTTTTCATTTGTCATTTGTCAAGCGCCGAGATGCTGCTGTCTCTGGCTCTGACTGTGACTCTGACTGGAGCTATTCTTTGGCGACAGAAGACGCGCGAACGGCACATATATCGCATATCAAGTGGCATTCAATGATTCTGGCTCTATCATTTGTGAAATGACATCATGAAGCAACTTGTGGTCATGCATATTTAGCGCCAGATCGCATTCAATGACGCCGTCGCAATTAATCACAATCGCTGTCTACCGAGTGAGGGTGGCAGGAGGTTGATACACAAAAACAAAACAAGCAACAAAAATAATATAAACCTCAACGTCAATTGCAATTGCCGAGTATTACCACCCACACATGCGCACACACACACACATACACACACAGAGATAGATCGGGTGAATGATAGATTTAGCATGCACTGTCACAAGTGGAAATTTGTTTATATCAGTAGTAGTAGTAGTGTGGGTGGGTGACAGAGCGTTGTCGAGGCGTACAAGTCAATCACAATTGTTTGGCAGGCCAGACCATTTGATGAGACGATGTTAGCTTGATTACAGTTATCACTTTATATTGAGAAACTTCTTCTTTTAGGAATGCATCATACAGTTAAGTCGTTATTCTAAATGCTTGTCCTTCTTGGCGCCGATATACAATACCGACCAGGACTTGTCCGGCATATCGATGTCCAATTTTTTCGAGTTAACACTAGGAGAAAAACTAGTTAACCGCTTTTCCTCCAATTCTCATTCACTGCATTGCACTCACCTGGTTTCAGAGTTCACCAAACGATGACGCTGATGCAATGGAATGCAAGTCTGCTTCGGAGACGGCTTCAGGTCAAGACACATTTCACTAGTCAAAGAGTTCATAACCGCAGCAGCGCCGTTCGTCTCAGAGCCTTCGCCTCCGCACTTTTCCACACCGAACTGTGAAGACATCTTCTGGGTAACACAATAGAACTCGAAACTAGCCGAAAATCTTCTTTGAATTTCTTATCGCGTGTCCGAATGTAGTTTTTCTTAAAATTTATATTCCTTCAACAAGACCAAAGTATTGAAAGTAACTAAACTAAAATGATTTTCAGTTTTGAGTTGTGTGTGTTATGTTTAATTATTTGGTAGGGGCAGTAAAGCACAGCCTGCCAGGTGGGTTCGGAATGAAAATATGTCTGTGCACAAACTGAGCTGTTTCCCAACCACGTCAAACATCGGATGAAATAAAATACACTGAATGCTCGTCAAGCCTAAAAGGAAAGCCTAAAAGTATGCTACAATATATTTATGCAAATATTTAGGTCTGCGAAACGAAATCGAATAAAATACTGAAAGAGAAACTGACGTGCTAGAGAGACAACTGAATATATATGTATATATGGAATATATATTGATATGTATGTATATATGTAGGCATATCATATGAGATAGCTTTCTGAGAGTGATTGATATGGTCCGCATTTTATGGAGTACAATTCCCAGCCGGTATAAGCTTATATAAATATAAAAACCATCATATCATATATATAAATATATATATTTATATGAAATCTTAAATTTAAAACACATTTCTATTAATAATAGAAAAACAATTCCCTCCCAAAGTTTGCTTGTAAAACGCAGCTCGCTAAAAATTTCATCAAAAAATCATTGCCAAAGGTAATTTCTAATGTATTAACACCTGTACGGCCAGAAGGTTTTCGCCATTGTTGGTCATCCGGCTAATAATGCTGCCCGGCACGGTTATGGCGCGATTGCTGCCGTAGATGTCTTTCAGGCTTTGAGCGGCGCGAATGTTGTAGGCCTCGTTGGTGTGCACCATCAGGTACTCGATGATGGGCCGGCTTCTGGTGGGCCACAGGGAGACGGTGCCCACGATTTTGATGTCGTCGGGGCGAACGCTAGTTAGCCACAGCATGAAGATCTCCTGGTCGGGTATGCAGCACGTATTACACGCGTTGTTATTGGTAAGCGTCTCCGAGTCTCTCAGGCTGAAGAATTCAGTTATCTGCATTCGGGCTGTCATGATGAGCACTGGCAGTAGATCGGGATGTTTGTTGGAGTTCGAGTCGAAGAACTTGTCCTTAACGAAGTAGACCATGTTGCATTTGGCCTGGTTCAACATGGTGACTCGCGTGTCGAGGAAGAACGTCTTGGCCATGCAGGGCGCAATGCGCTCCATGGGCAGGGCGGGATGCTCGTGGGTGAGGTGATCGTTGAAGTCCGAGATGAAGAACATACGCCGGCACTCCGAGTCGGGACAGAATATGGGCGAGCGACACACCTTGAGTGGGCGTGTCATATTCGGCTGCAAAACCTCGCGCTTTATGGACAACAGATTGACTAGCTCGTTGGGGCTGCAGGGCAGCGTGGAGAACTGCGGCGGTGGCGGATCACGGTACTTCATCAGCTCCGCTGTGTTCAGGCTGTGCAGCAGCTTCTGTGGATCCTCGGGGAATCCTCGGAATCGTGCACGCTGCACTGTGGATACCAGCATATGCAGTTTGCTCAACAGACGCTTGGGCTTAAATTCGTGGACATCCTCCGGCTTGGGCAAAAATACGTCCTGGAGCTCTTTAAGATTGCAGTCTTCATTGATCTCACTTTGAACTTTCTCAAACTGCTCCGTACGCAACAGCTTTTCGCTAAGTGCAAAGTCGACTTGACTCTCCGCCGGTGGTGCAGTAGGCTCCACTTTCAGCGGTTTCTCTTTCTCCTGCTTGTCGATTTGCTGCCCTGCATTGGCACTCTCCTGCAGCGATTCCAGCAAGTGATTCAGTTTCTCATCCAAAGCGTCGCCGATAGTTTTCTCCTTCTTGTCCGTGGACAGACTGAGCTCGGTGCCCGGCTCGATATATTTGCCGAAGTATGCACCGCCACGCTGTCGGTCGAGAGCCGCCTGTGCAGTGGCTATATTTTTTTTTCGTTCGATTTCCTTGTCGCGCTTGGCCCTGAGCTCTTCCAGCTCCGCCTTGACCCGAATGTACTCCTCCTCAACACGTTGTCGTATCTGCTCCCACTCGCCAACCAAGTGCTTCTTTTCTTTCAGCTTACTGATTAGCTGATCATCCAGTTCCTCCCGCTCCACCATATCGCTGGTCGCGTCCTCCACGGTCAGATGCTTGACCGGCCTAACGGCTGCATTGAAAATTGGCTTCCTTTCGTAGTCTAGCATTGTGGTTGGACTTTGGTCCTTGTCTGTCTTTTGCTCACGCTTGGCTAGGTCTTCTCGATGCTTATTTGTGCGCCACAGCAGCTCCTCCTGAAAGGGATTTAGCAACTCCAACTCCTGCACCTTGATTATTTCCCGCTTGCTCTTAAACTTGATCGACGTGCGCGAATTTCCAGACCCCGGTGTTCCAAGAATTTCTTCTATAGTTTTCTTGCACTGACCGCCTTCCTCGCTGGACTCCTGCTCGCATTGCCTGGCCATATGGCTGCGATATTCCGCACGGTGATTCCTACGATGCGGCTCATTTATAGCTGACTTGGAGCGATAGTGCGAAGCATGCGGATAACGATGATTGTGCCTGTCGTGCTCCTCGCTGTGTGACCTAAACCCGCGCCCCCTGGAATCGAGCAGCACCTTGGAAGGCAGCTCGGCCCTTTGCTCCTCCCGTAATACTTTGCGTGCCTCCCGACGCAGATCGTGTTGCGTCTTCCAATTTCTTAGCACATCCATTTCCCGGTTGTCTCTTGTCTTGGCTCTCGTTTCGCGCTTGTAGTTGACTATGCTATGGCTTGAGCCCCGTATTATTTTTATCCTAGCTTCGCTATCGATGATCTTATAGAAGAAACGCAAAGCCTCACACTTCGGGCACCAATCCGATGTGCCCTCGATGTACGAATCCTTTGTCCGGCGCCGGCTGCGAAACTCGAATTCCGGATTGCTGCCCAGCTCCGGCTTGCTCAAACCGCACATCGTACACGCATACATTTTTGGATTCGATTTAATGATAGTAAAAACAGCTGGCCAAAAATTCAAATTGCGTATATTTTAAAATAAAATAAAAAAATAAATATTTACAATAATTTATGCCAAACACAGAGAACCCTACCTAACTACTGTTCAAATCAAAGCACTTCGAAGTAAAAAGCATAGCGCCTTTGCTTGAAACACATGTATACTAAGGTATTTGCTTAGTGTGCACCAGCCAAGGCAGTCGCCAAACGGTGACGATGATTCCGCCTTTGGCTCAACTCAAGTTCCCGGCTAGAGCTGCGGCTAGGGTATTCAAATCTTCTTCATGTCTTCATTTCTTCTTGTTTGCTAAGCAAATATAACACACATATGCAGATTGGCCTCTAGCCATGCAAGCCCATTCACCTGCTGCGAGGTTCACCAAATGCTACGCACACTCAGACGTCACTCGGGGCCCACGTGCTGACCGTGAATTTTTACAGCTGCGACAAGGCAAAGGTAGTGCGAAAATAAGAAGAAGAAGAAGTAGAGAAAGACAAGAAGAGAGAGAGAGAGAGATATTAGAGACCTCAAGGTTACATGTGGAGCCAGGCAAAGCCCATGCTCCAGTTGTCATGCCGCCGGCCCGAAGATCTTGAGAGCCATTGAAATTGTCAAACGCCCCCCGTTAAGAGGCTGCACCGGCCAAAAATCGGCTTAGAGCCGCGTCCAATTGAGTTTCGGATCGGTTCACTTGTTGCTCTGGTCAATTTTGTATTTTATTTCTATTTTATTTTATTTTATTTTTCATTTTGTTGACTTTGTTCGGTGATTCAGCAACGTTTGAATGCTCGTTGATAAGATGCGCAAAAGTAAGATAAATAACGGAACATGGCATCGAGCCAAGTCAAATATTGAGACGCACTCACACTTTCGAAGGCCTAACCGCACACTGTATAAATACTCCAAGTACCAGCTGGTCAGCCATCAAACGACTCTGTGCACTCAGACAATAGACAACATGGTAAGCGCATGTGCTCCAGCACCAATCTGAGCATCCACCAACAACAGTAACAACAACAACTAATCAGTGAACTTAATCCTATTGCAGAGAACCGGCTACGTCTCACTTGCCATTTGCGCCTGCTTGGCTTTGGCCGCTGCTGATGTCTCGCATCTGACCAGCAGCTACCTGCCTCCGCCCAAGCCGGAGCAGGTCGAGCAGATGACCATCGAGCAGCACGAGCTGCGCGAACTGCCCGAGCAGGTGGACTACATGCGCGAGAATGAGCTGGGCGGCATGGAGAATGCGCCCAGCAGCCAGCTGACGCCGCCAGCTATGCCACAGGCGGAGGACATGCTCTCCACTCGCTACCTGCCGCCAGCTGAGCCTGCCATGCCCGCCCAGAGCTATCTGCCTCCTGCAGAGCCGACGGCGGCCATGCCCACCGCTGCTGCAATGCCCGCCATGCGCTATTTGCCACCCACTCAGGCCGAGCCGGAGCCAATGATGCAGCCCGAAATGATGCAAGCCATGGAGTACTCAGCCCCCGCTGAGCCCCAGCCAGAAGCAGCACCAGCCATGCGCTACCTGCCGCCCGTGCAGCAGGCCGAGCCAAATGCCTATCAGCAATACCAGCAGCAAGAGCAGCAGCAGCAGCAACAGCAGCAGCAGCAGGAGCAGGAGCAGGAGCAGCAGATGCCTTATATTCTGGACGTGCAACAGCCAATGGCGCCCTCCGATGCCGAAACTCTAGCCCTTGAGCCGGAGCCCGCCCACGAGCTGCGCCAGGATGGCTATCATTACCGACACGCCGAACAGGAGCAGCGCCTGAGGCACTAGAGAAGCCACCGAGTCATCGAATTGTTGTTAAATGTTAATTTAGTAATTAAAGCTTGAATAAAATGAGGGTTTACTAAACTTTGATCCCGGATCGTCATTGTGGTAAATCGTCGATGATTGGACATGGAAAAATACGTAAAATACCCAGTTTGTCGCACCGTCCATAGGCTAGGATTAGGGTCAGTGCACGACGATAGTGTTCAAAATGCGTATCTCGTCCTCGTACCGAAGCGAAGAGTCGTCATGCATCACCTCCACTCTGTGGATGGTAAACTCAACGTTGTGAGTGGGCACATTCAGGGTGACCACGATGCAGTAATGGAGCACGTGCAGTTGATGCGTGCGCAGCATGTACGACGCCCCCTCCGACTTGTTAAAGAGCGGATGGTCCTTCGCCTGGCAGTCGTACATGAAGTAGCCGCCGCCCGCGCCATCACAGAAGCCGAATGCCAGTGAACGGCCCTGAGCCGATATAATACCATACTTGTAGTGCTTGAAGAACTCGATGAGCGCATCGGCAAGGTTCATGTGATTGATGGTGGGTATGCGATAGAGTTTTCCGGTGCTCACGTGATTCATGTAGACAACAAACTTGATCGAGTCGAGGGCGCAATCGACGTCCAGGCCCTTCGGCCTCTTGCCTTTGCCCTTTGTGGATGTGAGACTCTTGCGGAAATACCTGTTGCCACTGACGACAATCCTGTCCAGCAGATGGTCGGTCCAGTCGATCAGATCAAATACGCTGGCCGCGCAGCAGGCGACCACATAGATGGCAAGATATTGATTGCAGCGTAGCCTTTTCTTCAAGAAGGTCCTCTCTGGCAGAATACTACCCCACAGGGACCACAGGCGATCTTCAATCTCGACGTCGTAGTTATTCAGCTTGCTCAGTGGCTCATCGCGATAGTTTCCTGCCGTGTTACGTTCATATTTACGGCTCCAAGGTGGCATGCGTCCCTTCAAGTTCAGCCACTTGATTGACTCATTTTTGATTCGAAAGGCCATTGGAGCCCATACGCAACAGCGGCTGTAAGTTCCACAGATTACATATACACACATATACCTTATCGAGTAGCTTAGAGCAACACTTACCAGGCTAGCACACGAGCAAGCTTTTTAAAAGATTTTGAGATTTTCACAAATTAACGGATTTCGTATGACATTCTAAAAGTGTCAAAAGAATTAGTGTTTGAGTTAAAGCAAACAGGGTACCTAGCAACGAGGATAAACTGGGTACTCCATTGAATATTTATCAACGATGTGAAATACAGACTCTTATATTAACAATAATTGCGACTGAATTAAAAGTAATGGGAATAAGCCAGTACTTAGTACTAAAGTTAGTCTTCATTTTATATTAATTATAATCTTCAATACATAGAGAAATAATGACAGTATAGGACGCATGGTTATGTATTCATTAAATGTTGATAAAGCAAACTTGATGTGTATGTCCTTTATAAGGATCTGCAAAAAATTGTAAGTCTCTAGCTCTTATAGGTTCCAAGTTCGATGCGTTCATACAGGCGAAGAGATTCTGTTCGCCACCCCGTTCATATATACGCCACGCCTTTTTCAGCCTGTTAGTGACAAGCCTGTTATACCAACTACCAATTTCACCTATTCATTAATTAATTATTCATTACTTAAATATAGATTTGAGAGGATTGGGCATTAACTCTATTTAACAAGTCTGTTTATAACATAATACTGAAAGACAACAGCCCCATACCTATCGGTATTACTTCACTTTTTTATTGGTCTTCTGCAACGGCTCTGGCACCTCCTCCTCGCCCTCACGCATCATCTCCACCTTGTGGATGCTAAACCTGACGTTGGTGATGGGCACATCCAGTGTGACTACGATGCAGTAGAGCAGCACCTGCAGATGCCGAGTGCGCAGCAGGTACGAGGCGCCCTGCTGCTTGGGAAACAGCGGTAGATCCTTCGCCTGGCAGTCGTACATGAAGTAACCCTCGCCCGGGTCCGGACAGAGGCCAATGGCCAGGGCACGCTTGCGCACCTTCACAATGCCGAATCGATAGTGCGCGAAGAAGTAGCTGAGTGCCTCGGAGAGATTCATGCGATTGAAAGTGGGCACGCAATAGAGCTTGCCATAGCAGACGTGCTCGATGTGAACCACAAACTTCACCGATTCCAGTGCGCAGTCTATGTTGAGGTTCTCCAGTGAGAGCTCGTGGTCCTTCGCCTTTATTTGAGCGTAGCTCTCCTCGAAGTACTTGTTTCCATTCACAACTATCGTGTCCAGCAGTCGACCGCTCCAGTCCATCAGATTGAACACGCTGGCCGCGCAGCAGGCGACGACGTAGATGGCCAAGTATTGACGTCCACGAGACTTGCTCGGAAACACAGGTGCCTCGGGATGAAGACTGCCCCACAGAGACCACAGCCGGTCCTCGATCTCGATATCGTATTCATTCAGTTTGCTCACCGGCTCCTCGCGATAGTGCCCCGTCGTGTTGCGCTGATACCTTCGGCTCCACGCAGGCAAACAGCCCTCCAAGTTCTGCCAGTGTATTGACTCATTTTTTGCCTTGAAAGCCATTGCCACCGAATATATAAGACACTAGCAACAAAATTAAATGCAATATTCAGTTCATTGGAGTGCTAGCAAAGCTTACCAAAAAAAAAAAAAAAAAAAAAAAATTAATAAAATGAAAATCTATACATATCTAATTTAAACAAAGCTATAAAAATTGTGTTGAGTTTTAAAGAACGGAGCTCCTGAATCGTCAAAGATAGTGATCGATTCATGATTTTAATTGCTTTACGAGTCTCAAAGTGGAATAGAAGTAGAAACATTGCCTGATTATAGATAACTACTATCCCCATTCACATACTTTTAATTCATATATGTAATATCAAAGATTTTCAGCATCAATCTGATGCAAAGCTCTGTTTTGTGGTTGTTCAGTTTATTGGAAAGCCGTTCTATAAAATTCAATATATTTAATAATTACTTCTAAAACACAGATATAGTCGTCACTAACTACACTCGAAGACCGCCACTGCACTACAGCTCTACTGATCACCCTCCTCCTCCTCCTCTTCGTTCTCGACTGTAGCGCCCTCACGCAGCATCTCCACCTTGTGGATGCTGAAGTCAATGTTGTAGAAGGGCACATTCAGGGTTACGACGATGCAGTAGAGCAGCACCTGCAGATGCCGAGTGCGCAGCAGATACGAGGCGCCCTGCTGCTTGGGGAACAGCGGTTGATCCTTCTCCTGGCAATCGTACATGAAGTATCCTCCGTCGTGGCCCGGACAGAAGCCAATGGCCAGAGCACGCTTACGCACCATCACCACGCCGAATTGGTAGTGGCTGAAGAAGTAGATGAGCGCCTCGGAGAGATTCATCCGATTGAATGTGGGCACGCGGTAGAGCTTGCCATAGCAGACATGCTCGATGTGAACCACAAAGTTGATTGTTTCGAGTGAGCAGTCAATGTTGAGGTTCTCCAAGGAGAACTCGTAGTCTTCCTGAGTGATTTGCGCAATGCTCTCTTGGAAGTATTTGTTGCCACTCACGACAATCGTGTCGAGCAGCTGAGCACTCCAGTCCATTAGGTTGTACACGCTGGCCGCACAGCAGGCAACCACATAGATGGCCAGGTACTGCCGGCCACGCAGCGAGTCTTCGAAGACCGGCGCCTCCGGATGGAGATTGCCCCACAGGGACCAGAGACGGCCTTCGATCTCCACGTCGTACTTCTTGAGCTTGCTCAGCGGCAGGTTGCGATACTTTCCAGCTGTGTTGCGACGGTTCATGCGACTCCAGACGGGCAGGCAGTTCTCCAGCTCCAGCCAGCCCAGGGACTCGTTGGTGGCACATATCTCATACTCCGGCCGTCCGTACTGGCGATTGGAGCAGGTCATGGGTATCGACAGATCAGTCAGCAGCTGTAGGATGCGTGCATTGGGCGCTGCCTTCTTGTATGAGAGCACGTCGACCACATAGAACATGTACTGGTTGCGCTCCTTCCAGTCTGGCTGGGAGCTACGCTTATCTATATACTTGAACATGCTCTCCACGTCGGCAAAGAGCACCCAGGAGGCGGTGTTGCGCTCTGGGTAGCGTTTGGGTCCCTTCGGGCACTTCTTCTTCTTTTTCTTGTCACCCTCTTCGCCGCCGGCGTCGGCCGCCTCCTCCTCCTCCTCCTCGCCTGGCTTGTCCATGCTCGCATACGGATCGAACAAATGATAGAACTCGTCGTGGTAAAGGGCGAAGCAACCGTTCGGCGTAAATATCATCAGATATTTGCGCGTGTTTAGCAATTTCTGCATCTTCTTCTTGATCGTGACCAGCGCTGCATCGGGAGACAGTGTAACTGGTTTCGGTGCCGGCGTCCACATGCCCAGCGGCTCTAGGATGCGGATCCAGATGTCGAACTCATACTCATCAATCGTTACGTGGCGCACCACACGCTCGAAAACGGACTCCAGATCACAGACGCGCGTCGCTATCGACTTGGCATGGGTGATCACTCGGTCGATGCGGTACGAGTTCCAGCGATTGAGTGGACGCAGCGAGACGCTGAGTATGGCCAGGGCAGAGGCAAAGTAGCAAGGCTTGATCTCCTTGAAGCTGCCATCTGCGCGGCCCTCCAGGTTCATGCTGCCCTGGATCTTGAAGTTGCAATCCTTTTCGCGCATGCGATAGCCATAGAGGATGGGACGCGGCTTGTAGGCCTTGCGCACCTCCTTGGGCAGATGCTTGCCGGGCTTGTGCTTCAGTTCCACTTCTTCTTCACCCTCGCCCTCCTCCTCCTCATCCATTTCCATGAGCTCCAGTTGCTCCTCGTCAACGCCCTCGTCGATACCCAGATCCTTGTACTCGGCTGTGGGAGAGAGATGGAAGTTGTTTTAGTTTGAAATTTTGACGCAAATACGAAGGCCACTTACGTTTCTTGCCCTTCTTACGATCTTCGTGCGCCTGTTTGGCCGTCAGATAGTCCTGAATACGCTTATTCTCCTTCCTCAGCTCCTCATCAATCACGCGCATCTTCTCCAGGCGCTGCTCTTGCATTTTATTCTTGCGCGCCAGCTCTGCATTATACTCAGCGTCCTCATCCGCCTTGTTCCAGCGTCGGAAATGGCCCTTGATATTATTATCCACAATCTTAATGGCAGCCACAATGTAGTTCATCACCGAACAGCCCTGGGGATTGCAGCCGAACTCAATGCGACGGATCAGCGAGTCCAGCTCAATGAAGCGCATCATGCAGGCCGGGCCTGCTCCGCCCTTGCGATATCCCACCGCATTGCACGGAAAGCCAATGAACATGTACAGCAGATTGTAGCGCTTGAATATGACGCAGGAGAAATGCTGGCAGACAACCAGCACCCGGTTATTGTCGATGAGCAGCTCGAGAAGATCTTGACGGAGCGACGATGACACCGAGGACTTGTACACCTCGCTCACCACCAACGAGAAGTTGCTCTCGCCTACGGCAATGTCCGGCAGTTTCTTGTTCAGCAGGCAGGCGAGGATTAGCTCGTAGTTCTGATACTCCTCACCAAACTTGTTAACCGAATAGATGCAGAACTCAACCAGCTCGGCGTTCCAGGTGGACACCTTGTACTTGGCGGAGACTGCGGTGGCCACTAGGGCAGCCAGCACACCGCCCAGCTTGGTCATTTCGGGATCCAGTTGAGGTAGCTTCGTGGTGCCCATTATGATGTAGGCGCCATCATGCAGCGTTTGGTAGTTGGACTTGAGCTCTAGCTCTTCCTCGATGGTCAGCACACGCTTCAGATCGACCGGCTCCTCCTCTTCCAGCTCGTAGCCGCGCTTGATCTTCAGACGCAGCGCACGCAGGTTCTCCTTGTCTGAGGCCAGGAGTACCTTCTGTGCCTGTCTGTACATATAGGGCCGCTCCAGTCTCTGCTCAGGTATTTCCTTAATAATCGAATTGATGATTTCCAGAATGAGTTCCTCGGCGAATTCGCGCTCCTCTTTGGTGGGAAATCGCTCCTCCTCCGGAATGCTCTCGATGCTCTGCTTTTGCGCCAGCGGCGCCTCTCCCGGCTCGTCGGTGAACGTGGGCAGACCCATTTGCATCGCCGGAAACTTGTTCGACTCCTGCGTCATCACCTGCAGCGGCCGTATGCAGCCCGTGCGAATGCCGTGAATGAAGAATTTACCACCGCGTCGCATCTTCAACGCGTTCTGGTAAATGATACGCACAAAGGAATCGAATGTGGTGTGCATCTGCAGGACTGCCAGACCCTTGATACGATAATCATCGGGATCCACCACCATGCCCACGCGATTGCGTCGAAACGGATCGAAGGCATAGAAGAATTCACGGTCCCGCCACACGCCCAGCACGGAGTTGTCGATCTGCAGCAGGGCAGCTGGCCACTCCGGCATCTTGAAGAGATTGTACAAGGCGTGCGTCAGCTGCGATTCCAGGTACGTCTTGCAGTCGGTGACATGGCCGGTAATTAGGAAAGGCTTCTTGCGCACTGTGGCCTTGAATGCGCCCATCAGGAACATCTCCGGCAAGTCGACGACGTTCAGTTCGGGCTTCTTGTTCTTCCAGCGCTTGCCATCCAAGCGAAACTTTTTGCGCAGCGTCTTGTAGTAGGCAACGCCGTACCGAATGATATCGTCAATGGTCATGGGGCGCCACACCTTGGCCAGCTCGAACTCCGAGTAGATCAGCGCAATCAGCGAGACAACGAGCGAGGCATTTTTCTCCTTGCCAGAGATGGGCTGCTGAATGCCGCTATTGCCGCCCGTCTTAACCGCAAAGTTCTCGTTAACCACGGCCCACAGCTTGTGGAAAGGCTGCGCCTTGCTCTTACCAATGATCGGCTCCTTCAGTTTGCCGTACTGAGACAGAGCTATCTCGTATATGCTAAACTCATCCTCGCCCGTCAAGTCGCTGAACTGGGTTATCAAGTGCACCAGATGCTCCATGAACCGTGTCGCCATCAGCGAGCACATGCCGTCCTCGAAGTCACGCTGGCACAGCTCGTTGCGGCCATTCGGATCGAAGATGAAGAAGGAGTCGACGCAACGCTTCCAGATCAACATGAACATGTCGCGCGAGACAAAGATGCAGGCGTTGTACTTGGAGAAGTACAGCGACAGCGCCTTATACAGATTGGGCTCATTCTTGAACAGGCCCGTGAAGTGGATCTTGATCTTGACAGCTGCCTGGCGCTCCATCACCTGGGGCAGTATGTCAAAGTCGGTGTCCTCCGATTTGTAATTGAGTGAGATGCTCTTCTTTGTCAGCTTTACGCCACGTTTCAGTATGCCGTCCATGGTACCGGCCGTCCAGAAATCGGGATTCACTTGATAGGTCTCCACGAAGGCCACAATGATGCAGGCCACCTCGCTGGGTCGATTGTAAAAGCTGCAAAAGGTTCACCGATTAGTAAAGCCTGCTGCTTAGTATTCCTAGCTGCCAGCTCACTTTGAACGATGTGGTTCCTTTTTGGGTTCAGGATAAATGTTACGATTGCCAAACACGATCTCGGCTGTGAATGTCTTCTCCAGCTGCGTGGGTATATTATAGACGGTGAGTCCGACGTCGTGACCTGTTTTTGGACAGGCCTAAAAACGTTTAGTGGAGGTGCTCAAGCATTTGTCAGATTTGGTAACCCACCATATTTAGGCAACGAAGCTGTTATGAAATCTTGATCCATTTCGATTTCACGCTTCTGCAAGCCCACATTCCAGGTCCACAGATCTTGGGGATTGCAGCCTTCGATAATGTCGTATGATCTCAGATTTTCACCCTCCAAGCTCTCTTGAATGACGCGTGGATCATATGTGGGGAACGGCAGCTCTTCCAAGGGTCCGACTTGTGTTTCATTCAAATAAATGCGACTCTTGGGGCGTTTCAACTCAAGCTGAGGGCAAGCAATAGGATATATAAATATATAAAATGGGTTGAAATAGTATGAGTAATTAACAATTTGCTGATCGTGTTCAATTTACTAATAGTATACGAGTGGGAATGTCTGCTCATCAGCCACAATCATTCTTGCAGCTTGTGGACAATGGAAGGCATTTGTAAGTGGCATTACGCATACGACACGTAGGCGATGTCTCACTTGTACTTTCGCTCCCGCAACTGCACAAAAAAACTTCACAGAGAGAAAAGCAAAAAAAAACACATGGCGAAGCCATACAAATTAAACATGAAGACAGCTTTATGCACAGCCCGACAATTCGGGCCATATGTTAAATTGTCGCAAATGCGTTGTGCTTTCGCCAGTCCGAGTCTTTCCTGTGCTGCTTCATAAGCTTTTTTATTTCGCCTGGCCCAAGCACACACACACAGGCACAGACACAGAGAGAGACACAGACACTTACATATTTATGTGCGAGTTAATGCGACATTTCAAGTTGCAAAGCTGAAAATAGCACGCATACGCCATGGATGCCAGCATGAGCGCGCCTATAAATAAGTATGTATAAATTTATACAGACACACACATATGTATGTGTAGATCTATCTGCATGTGCGTAGCTGTACGTAAATGGAGCTAAATATGGAGGCCAAGCCCAGAGCCAATCCATATCGCACTCAGCGCTATTGTGGTCGACTATGAAGTTAGTAAGCGGCATAAAGTAAGCACGAAATGCCAACTAGACTGGCTAACTATACAGCCGACTGTCTGTTGTTCGTATTAGTGTGGTAGATCTGACTGTGTGTGAGTGAGTGCTCGACTGCATGAGTGTGTGTGTGTGTGTGTGTGAGTGCCTCTATGGCTGGCTGGCCACGCTGACGGCCACAAAACAGCGCACAGAGCAGTAAACAGTGAACAGCGCTTAGTGCCACATCACGAATCTTATCGCAAGCGCACGAATGCCAGAAACAGCAGCAACAACAACAACAACAACAAAAGCAACAGCAACGGCAACTAAAAGCTAAAACCCGACAAACTCGAGCCGAGCGTAGGTCGGCTGCAGAACAAACAAGTCATCTAACAAATATACGAAAGAGTATATATATAATATATATGTATAAAAGACAGCCAGCCAGCCAGCAGCAGCAACTAGCACTGGAATCGCTAGCTATAGCCAAACGAGCGAGCACTTATAGCATACGACGACGTCAATAAACACGAGTGCGACGTTGTGCGATACTAATACTAGCAACATCAGCAGCAACAGCAACAGCAACAGCCACAGCCACAACAACGACAACAACAACGCAACCCTCTCAACTTTAAACGCGGCTGACGCGAGTGCTGGCAAAATGTCAAACCAGGTACGTGTGGGCATGACGCAAGGGCATAGCGAACAGCACAGCTTAGAGCTGGCAGGAGACAAGCAGCAGGCAGCAGGTAGCAGGTGTTGCATGTGTTTTTATTGCATTTCATTTATTAATCGTGAGCACGCCAAGTCTCTGTGCCTGCTTGCACTTAAAAATCCCTTCTAAATAAATCAATTAAAATGCATAAAATCAATAAAATGCGAAGACAACAGCCAATGGCATATGAGTCAAAGCACGTGGCATGCAAACTCTAAAAACACACACACACACACAGAGAGAGAAACAAACAGGCGAATGTATGCATTTATGAGTGTGTGTTTGCTTGGCTTGCCTGGCAGCCTGTTTTCAAGTTCAGCAAGGAGCCACAAGCAGCGGCAGCGGCAGCGGCAGCACCACGTCAGCACAGTCGCAACTAAGTCACATATAGGCACATGTGTGCGTTTGTGTCTGTGTGTGTGCTGAGTATATGCACATGCCATTATGATGCTGAAGTTGCATAAAAGTCAAGCCAAACACACAAAAGAAGCCCACGGCATGCAATACAGACTTGAGGCCAGGTGTGTTTGCTACGGCCGCTGCTGGGCTGTTGGGTTTCTTCTTCTTCTTCTCTTTTCATTATTGCTTGCGAGCGACCAACAAACTTGGCAAGCGAGCGAGCGGCCATAACAACGCACACAGAGTCAATCACACACACACACACACACAGGCATACACGCACACACATTGACGGACGCACAGGCAAACAGACGGACCAACGTCAAAGCAAAGCGCAATAAGAAAGAGCAATGGCAGCTGCAGTGGCGTAGTCAATTAAGGGAAAAGTGGGGGCGTAGGCAAGTGGGAGGGGTGTGGTACCAAACAAGGATCGAAAAACTACATCTAAAATCTATTAATTAATTGTTTAATATGGTTCTGTGCACAGCCTGCACAGAATATTGATAAGGTCCCACGTACGCCCCATAAAACATTTGGAAAAAACAAAACACATTTTATCAATATCAATACAATAATTTTGTACTCCAGCTGTAGCCGAATAGCGTATAAGATTGAAGAGCACAGAGACATACTGTTTGATTTCGCCTTATCTGCAGAAAAGTTAAATAGCTTAATGCTGCTTAGAAACAAGACTTGTCAAGCTTTTAGCGTTTATTAAATCATAAAACTACCAAAATTTGATATTCAATTAGATATTTACATACATTTAGCCATTAAATGCATAATTTGTATGGTTCACTACGCCCCTGCCAATTGCAACATAACAAATACAGTGCAGAAAAGGAAATCAAGAACGAAACATGTAACTAACAATAAGAGCGCAACTGAAACAAAAATTAAACGACAGCTACGACGACTGTAAAGTCAGCGTCAGCGTTAGCGTTAGCGTCAACATCGGCGTCGCTTGGCTTTTGCATAGACACAAATGCAATGCGCAGCAGCAGCAACTGCAAGCGCTTGTCTGTGTGAGTGCCAGTGCGTGCATGTGTGTGTGTATGAATTTATTTGTTCATTTGTAGCAGCTGCTGCGTGCTCCTCGCTTCAATGCCCGCCTGCAGAACTAGTTCAGAACTAGTTACTTAAGTCACATAGTTCAGTTGAATAGTTTTCAATTGTCCTAGGAAATCGTAGCATGCTTCATTAGAAATTAGAAGTTATAAAGCCGCTGCTATCCTTCTCTAACAAACTACATCATTTACATTTACGTGGGTTGCTAACAACAACAGCAGTACGCAAGTAAATACAAACACAATTACACATAGTCTCACACACACACACACTGCCAGCTGAACGACAGGCGGCCTGTGCATAGCGAACCGTTTTTATTTCATACGGCCACAACAACGGGCAGCAGCACCAGCAGCAGCAGTAACAACAACAAGAGCAGCAGCAGAAACGAACATACGGTAAACACCTGAAAACGTAAAACAGTGCACAAGTGTTACTCAGCGACCAAGCACGCGTGTAAAAATGTCGCCCCAGTAGTAGTAGCAGCAACACCAACAACAAATAGCAATAGCAGCCGTAGAAGCAGCACACAAAACCAATTGAAATTGAGCGTGTGCACAAAAAATTATACAGCTAAACAAAGTAAAAGACAAAAGTGATGGCAAACATTTAGGCCTAACAATGTATACTTAATTGCATTATTATTTATTATTGCAAATGGTTTTTCTATTTGCGCAGCATTAAAAGGAGTCACAGAAAGAGAACGAACGCAAAACACGCCAGTGAGAGAGAGAACGCGCTAAGACAAACGCGCTCTCAGAGAGTGACAGTAGCAGCGGCAGCAGCAACAGCAACGACAACAACAGCGCAATTGACTTTTAAGCAGTTTGAGCTTTCATTTTGAGGACGCTGCGCAGCTGTTACCGAAGAGCAGAGAAAGAGAAAAAGTGAAATATAATAACTGCATTTGGCGAGCAACTTAACACAGCCATGGACACAGCAGCAGCAACCACGAAAAAGGGAAATAACAACAACAGCAAGAGCAAAGGGGTAAGTCAAAGTGATTCGTGTTGCTCGTGTTGTGTTAACTTGGCCTTTAGCCAGCATGAGGGTTGATTTGTTATGCGTTTTGCTTATGGGCATCATACACACGCATTCGTAAGGCAAGCAATTAGTCACAATGGCGTAGCGAGTAATTTATTGAGAAGGGATTATTTATGATAAATTCTGTAAAGTCTTTTTATATGAAATTTACTAGATTTTGTATTGCTCATCAGTGGATTATCAATGCTAAAATAATATTAAAAAATGCTTAATAATTAAAAATTAAATTAATAAAAAATTTAAATCAAATGCTAGAACTAACAATATAAAAGAATATTATAAATTATAACAAATTTGAATATCTAAAAAAAAAAAAAAAAAAAAAAAAGATCGACTTTTAATTCGATTGTGATGATATCATCTAAAAATAGCTGTACTTATTAAATATGAATTAAAAATGTAGTAGATTTTTAGGCCCCTCTTTAGATCATCTGCCGACGCCACTGAACTTGAATTGATTAACACTTCTTGTCTTCATAATTTGTCATATAATATAATGAGGCGTAAATTTTTATGAAAGAAGACGCAACCTTAACCATTTCAAAGTAAAGTCTCAAAATTCTCTTTATCCTAATCTCTTTTCACTAGGGCAAGACGAAGACGCGTCGCAATGAACGCAACATTTTAACTTTCTATGAGAAAATTGCGGTTATACGTTACTACGATGAGACGAACATCTCGCGCAATAGTCTGGCCAAGATGTTCCATTGCTGCGCAACCCAAATACGCCGCATTCTGGAGAAGAAACGTGAACTATTGCAGCAGCTGGCGACGCTGAGCGAAGCGGATGCCTCCATTATTATTGAAGAGATGACGCGCAAGCGCCGAAAGTTCGAAATGAGCGCCATAAGCTTTCTCCTACACGAGTGGGTGGAGCGTTGTCGCCAGCTGCGTCTTGGTGTTAGCATTAGGAACCAAACGCTGAAGGATACGGCACTCAGGATGGCAGCGGTGCTCAAATTGCCAGCCTTTAGACCATCCTATCGCTGGCTAAACCGCTTTCGCAGCAAGTACAAGTACGAGGACGACGAGTTGGGCTACACAGGACCAAACCCGGTGGCGAACGTGCTGCCTCTGGAGCAGATTATTGTGGAATTTAAGCATGCCCTGCCAAATTTCATGCAGAAGGAACTGGCTGACATCGACATGGATAACAAGCTGAGCGCTGTCACGCCTGAACTGGTCAACCTATCGAGCGAAAACAGTGAAATATCCGATGGAGAGGATCTGGACGACGATGGTGTCGAAATGCTGACCTGCGAACCAAGTGTGCTACATTCCCCAGCCAGCACATCAGATGGAGAAGATGAGTCGCTGCCGATGCCGCTGCCTCAGCAGCAACCGGAAGAGGATGCCTCGATGAGCCTGCTCATGAATGCGGGCTCATGCTCGCTGTTAAGCAACGTCTTCCCCCACTTGGCCATCATACATCAGTTTGCTTTAATAAACTCTGATGTGCAGGCATTGGAATTGATCTCTCAGCTGGGCGTGCACATGCAGCAGCAGGCGACAGCTGGTGCCTACCAAATCCTAAATCTGCCTACGAATGGGGAAGCACCAGCTTTGCCCACCCCAGAACTGCCACCGGGCAGCATTTACGCGGACATAGATGACATCGAGTTGATCGAATAGAATTAAGTATATGATATTCATAAATAAAAGTCAGGTAGCACTTACCATGCGTTTGTCGGGTATAATAATCATGCTGGAAGAACATTCGGGCGTGGCTTTTTGTGGCTTGACTTCGGTCTCTTCCTCCTCGCCGGCGTCTTCCTCCTCTTCCTCTTCATTCAAGTTCATCGGACTATTTAGTACAACTAAATCCTTGGGGCAGGACTTAGATAGACGCGCATCGTGCTCAACGAGTCCAGCATCCGTTTTAGACAACAGGATGCGCTCGCGCATTTCGGCATTTGTCTTTAGTTCGCCTGGCAGCCGTTGTGGTATGATGCACATTGTGAACTCATCGTAGAGATCGCAACTTTTTTTATAAGGACGAGCGAACCGAGACTCTTCGGCTTTTTGATGCAGACGTCGCAGCTCATCCTCAATGGTTAGAACATGTGAAATTGTGGAATTTGGCGGTTTCTTCATGCAAACTCGATCCCGAGGCGGGCAATTCTCAACTTTCCATTCCGTTGTAACATTATCACCCATATAGGTGCGTACGGCATATGGATTTACTGAAGGACTCTCGTCCGCATTAACCTCGACAAATTTTTTAAGCATTTTTGCAAATTATATACTATTAATTTAGCAAAAGAGAAAGTTAAATCTTTAAACAAAAAATTTTGTATTGTGTAAAAGACTCTATCGAAAAACTATACTCGATTCATTGAAGTTAAATTGTAAACTGAAGAAAATTAGTTTGAATAATAGGCCTACTACAAATTTGGCGCCAAAGCATAAGGGTAATCGTTGCCAGATAGTTAGAAAATAAAAGAGTACTCAATACATTACTTGACGACATAAATAAATTTATCGTACAGCCGCCACATTGAAGTGCAACCCTATCGATCATTCATTTGTGCACAGTTATTTCCTACATATTTTCGGTGTTTTGTTAATTTTGTTGAAAATAGTATATTAAGAAATTGTTTTTATGTACTTTTAATTATAAACTATTACTAGCTGTGTACCTTTAAAGCTCCGTTGTTTTTATTGTGAATATACTTGCAGCATTTCAAATAAGTGTTCAGTAACTTAATAAGCTATATATCTTACGATTATAAAACTGACTTTAATATTTAGTAAATACCTGACAACATTAGATTCAATTTTTATTTAAATCAAATTAATTACCGAACAGCCTTTAGAAACCAAATAGTGACTGCTGTTAATAACAGGGCAGCATGATGTTAAGCTTTCGGATGCCAAAACATACATATAAAGAAGAAGCAAGAGAAGTGAACAATAGAGTAGTATTCTAAGAAATAAATAAAGCCCAGCGTAATTGTGCATTGCACTTCAGTTCTTATTGCCACAGATGTAAACCGTAAAGCATACACACTCACACAGACACAATTGCACACTCTGTTCTTGCTCTTTTTTTATTTGCGGCAGTCGCAAAACAGTTTCACAAGAGAGAACTATGAAAAGTGGCGTTTATTAAACTGTAAAAACTACGGCAAGAATAAAAAAACGCCAAAATGTGGATTCAACCAAAGGAGTTGCTGCTGACCTCAGCATTTTGGTGAGTAGAAGTGAAGATTTGATTTTTCTCGGATTCTGTACCGCCCCCACTAGCGTTTTTTAGCAGCTGATTAATTAAAAGCCCCCGCACACACACACATACATAGTTCTGTAGGTGTGTGCACTTGTGCGTGTGTATGTGTGCCTTCGTTGCTTTTGTTATTGTTATTGTTGGCCGCACTAATGGCTGATAACTAATTGAGCAGAGTTCAACTCAGCCATCTCTGCACTGATTCCATAAGCAGCTGTGGAACAAAAGCGCAAGCAAGGCTTGAAATTTGCTTGTTCTGTCGCACAACTGTTTTTTGCTGCGTAAAAGCCCCCAACTCATACAGACACACACATGCACACATACATATGCATGCAAACTCACTCCAACAAAGCGCGCTGACACTCATACACACGCATATGCATATGTACCGTTTTTGCTGCGTTCCCAATTCTGATTTCTTATTTTGCAGGACCGCCGAAATGTATTCCAAGTATTTTGTGCTACAGAAGCGCCGTGGAACTGGCGAATCACGCGGCTTTGGCTCCATGCTGGTGGGCACCATCGATAGCGTAATGAATACAAAGCCGGCACCCTATCGAATACTTCATCAGACACCATCCTCTGAAGTTTCTTATGGTAGGTTGGAAATCATATAAAACCCACCTCCCACTCACAGTTATCAATGCTATTTACGATAAATGTATATAAAATGGGTAATGCGGGCAATGCGCGAGTGCATATCAACCATCAAATGGGTGCCCTATTGCTAGACTGAGTCATTCAATCAGCCTTAGGCGAAATCCATATACATACATACACATGTATATATTTAATTTGTCAATGTGTATCGAAAGGGAATATTGACTTTTTGCACTTGGAGTACGATAAGGAAAAAGAGACTAAGTGAAGAAACCAAGAATTTATTACTTCGGATCATTGAGTCGAATAAATACACGAACGATTGGCGAAGTTGGAGAGGAAAACACGAAGCTCCAAATGAGCGATGAGAGAAGACGAGCTATCACTCTTCTATGTGATTTTCATAAATCAAAGATATATACGGGGCTCATGTCCTCATGTTGTGAGAGAATATATTTTAAGAGAGATAGAGTGGCGAGTGGCTGTGTACCCAAAATTAAATATACATACCTTACTTTAACCAATACTAACTACAGCACAACAGAAGCAGCGGAATCCAATGACTAACCTACTCCGGCTATGTGTCAGCCTACTAGATAACTATTCATACAAGTGTCTGTCTGCTCTACTTAGCCATTATTATATTATTTTTAATTGATATGCACTCAAATTGTATTCTTATCGGTTTTCAAAAATAGAAATTGCAATTGGCATAACCCAGGATGAGATCGTCAAGGACTGGGAATGGCTGCAGGCCAATCTATTCAGTGTGCTCAACGAAATGGAAAATGAGGATGAAGTGACTAACTTCACCATCTGTAAAATACAATCTCTGTTCACTCAAAACAATCAAGACGATACTGGTGAATCGCCAGACTTCAAGGTGAAGACTTCGCAGTTTAGACAAATCTTCAAAATGCCCGAAGAAGAACGCTTGGTGAACTCGTACTCAGCCACGTACGTCTATTAACTAAAACCTTGATTTGTTAATTTTAGTCCAAAACTATTTCGATTGCAGCTATGTGAAGAATAAAATACCGCGACAGGGACAATTGTACATCTCCCTAAACCATGTTTGCTTCTACTCCTACATGCTGAGCCAGGAGATCAAGCGAATCATACGCTTCGCTGAGCTGGAGGACATTAGTCGCAGTGGCAATACGATCTATCTGAAGACTACCAACAACATGACATATAATTTCACATTGCTCTTCAATTCGAGCGAGGCTCACGTCCTCATTGAGCAGCTTAATAAAATGGCCATCCAGAAGTTAATACACGACCCGGAGAGTCCCGTTGTCGACCATGATCCATCGAATTTTTCACGTTATGGCGCCAAGGCTTCCAAGAAGCCTGTCCTGCTACGTGATTTGACAGCACGCCAAAAGTCTGAGGAATTTCGCGTTTACTTTCGTCTGCCACAGACAGAAATTATTGATGGCAAAATCAAAGCCGATATATGGACGCCGTACTCGAAGCGATTCAATGCGGGCTATATTTACTTGTCACCGAATTTCTTTTGCTTTCGCAGCGATGTCAAGGATTTGGTTAGCGTCGTAATACCAATGAAAACTATTAAGGTATGGGTTTTTTGATTAATCTACATATATATCACTTTAAACTATCTATATTTTATTACAGAGCGTTGAAAAGAAGGACGATGGTCATCAACGCTATGACAATCAAATTGTCATCTTTACATCGGAGAATGTGCCTTTTATGTTCGCCAAGATTACGGATCGCGAAGTGCTCATCTCAAAGATCACAGATCTGCTTTCGCGCATTCATATGTAAGCTTTTATAGAATGGAGTCGGCATTGTAATCTTTATAAATTCCACTTATAGACCGATCAGCCGCGAACGTGCCAAGTACGATATATCCTGGAGCAAGCAGACAGCTTTGCTCAACACATTTAAGACGCAGTTCAGCGCGGACATACAGAAGAAACAGGAGCAAAAACTGGCACGTTGGGAGGATCATTTCCGTGACTTTGGACGTGGCATTGCAATGTATCGCACCACAGATGTGATTAATTTAATTGTGGAGGGCATACCGGACAAACTGAGACAGGAGATTTGGTTGATCTTCTCGGGCGCTATACACGACAAGGAAATGAATCCCGGCCTATACGAAGATTTGGTGGAGAAGGCCGCTTGTATTAAGGATTGTTTTGCGCACGATGAAATCGATAGGGATTTGCCTCGATCGCTGCCCGAACATCCGGCATTCCAGTGCACAGATGGCATCGGTGCCTTGAGACGTGTACTCCAAGCATATGCACTGCGCAATCCACAGGTGGGCTACTGTCAGGCCATGAATATTGTTTCATCAGTATTTCTGCTGTTCTGTGATGAGGAGAATGCATTCTGGATGCTGGCCAGCTTGTGCGAGAATTTGCTGCCAGACTATTACAAGGACAAGGTTGTGGGCGCCCAAATCGACCAGGGCGTGCTGAATGAGCTGGTGGAGACGCATCTCTCGGATTTGCATGAGCATTTGGAACGTCTTGGCGTTATAAAAATGATCTCCATCTCGTGGTTCCTTACCATATTCATAAGTGTAATCAGCTACGAAAGCTCATTGCAAATATTGGACTGCTTTTTCTACGAGGGCGCCAAGATAATTTTCATGATCTCCCTTCAAATCATCGAGTGGAATCGCGACAAGCTTCTCCAGTGTCAAGACGACGGCGAGGCCATGCTGGTACTGCAAACCTATCTGGAAGGCATATACAATCCCGAATACCAAGTGCCACCGTCCACGGACAAGCGCAAACTTGAGCGACCACAGACCCAAACTGTGCAGACACTCATCCACGAGGCATATACGAAATTTGGTGAGGAACTGACGCAGCAGCGCATCGAGGAGCTGCGCAACAAGCATCGTCGCCTTACCGTGCGCCAGTTCGACATTGACAACGAGAAGACGATTGTGAAGGCCCATGCGCAGAATGCTTACTTTAATCGCCAGGAGCTGCATATGCTGCTCACGATCATACGAGAGGAGAAACTCAACCTCAAGTCTGTGCAACAGCAGCAGCAGAAGGCGCAGTGTCACATGAGTGAGGCGCCGCAGCTGCTGCCGCATCATCAATCGCCATCACGTAGTGGCGTCGGCGACATTATGCCCGGTGGCAGCAGTGGACGCCATGAGGCTTATTGTGTCAACTTTGAGGTATTCCACACACTCTTCTCTGAGCTAACGCCGTGGCGCAAGTGCGTCAGCGTTGACATTGGCGAGAAACTGTTTAGGGTAGGTTGTTAAAACACAATACGTATATTCGATTCAATCTAATCTAAATCTTTTCACAGCTGACGGACAAAAAAGGCACTGGACAATTGGACTTTGGTCAACTAATCAATGCCTTTGGCTTAGTCTGCTCCACCAAGAGCATGGAAAAACTGAAGCTACTCTTTGTATTGCATTTGCCACCGCTACTCTCGAAAGCGGAAATAGAACGCACTCGACGTCCACGTCCTCGGATCAAGGACGATGCCGATGAGGCATTTGAAGCAGAGGATTTCTTTGAGTAATTAGTTTTGCATTATTTATATGGGCTTACTAATTCAGTTCTGCTTTACAGTGAGGATGCCTCAGAATCCATTGAAGCTTTGCCGTCTCCATCGGATCACAACTTTGATGCCGATGACTATGCGCTGATCACCGCCACTCAGCATTTGCATAATTTGGCTGGCATCTCGGGCAACACGTTCATGGATTTGTCCCGGACAACGCCGAATCTTTCACTCAATTCGAATGCGTCATCTCTGGCGCAGCGCAACTCGACATTTTATGTGGATCTGCCCGCTGCACTCCAGGGTACTGCAACACGCACAGATGCTGGGCAGGATGACGACACCGACATCGGCCTACGCCAGCAGGGACGTTACGAATCGATTGACACTTTTTCGGATATTTCAGATCTGGGTGCGGCCCGTATAACTCCGCCACAAACATCGACGACAGCAGCAGCCGCTACAGCTTCAGACCAACTGTTACTGAACGTTGAGACTATATCGAATTTCTCTCAAATAAGCGATCTGGTCGCGGCCACTCGTCTAGATCGTGCCGATTCGAATGCAACGGATACACGCAGCTTGGGCAGCCTGGGCTACTTGCTGGATCAGCCGGATGAGAGTGCCTCAGCAAGCGGAAAGCATCGTCATGTGCCGCACATGCGCAAGGAGAATTTCCAGCTGCTGTGGCGCAGTATCATAGAGATCATGGGTTGCGTTCAAGATGAAGAAATGCGATGTGCATGTAAGTGGACAACTAACCGTAAGCCAACACAGCTCTAATCCGTTTCCTTTGACAGACGAAAATCTCATTGAAATGGGCAATAGCAATATCAAGAAAGAACCGAGCCTGGAGAGCTTCACGCAGCTTAACTTAGGTGGCAGTGGTGATGAGGTGACTAAAAATTGTATATTAATGAGGTAGAAAATTTTCAATTATCGTTATTTGTATTATCTCAGCAACCGGATAGCAATGGAAATCCCAGAACACCCGCTGCAGAGCCCAGCAGCACAACGCGTCTATTTGTCGCTCTAGAGGAGGAGCTGCGTCAGGCAAAGGCAGAAGCAGCAGGAACAGCGACGACAACCAATAACAGTAGCGGCAGCGGCAGCAGCAGCGCGACAAACACCTCCGATGCCTGGCACATATCCATTAATCAGTTTATTGCCACTGCTCTCACTTGCGAATGCGTCGTAAAAGCATTCCAAACGCGTACAGAAATCGTGGAACAGATTGAGCAGCTGCAGAAGAAGCGACGCAAATGTTTGTCCACTAACTACAACTACTAAGTGTCCCCTATTGGAATCCCATATCCTTATAGAACCCAAGGTATTAGCCATAAAGAGAACTGTGCAATGCGGCTTCAGCTTTTTAACCGTGTCCCGTTTTATAAAATATATATATAAATATATATTTCTATCTATATATATTATATATATGTTATGCGTAAATTATCCCAATTAGTTAAGCCAATTGTTTGTGAATATAGTTCGATTATACCTATTATACATAAAAGATAAAATATGACTTATGTTGTGTCCGTGAGACAAAATTTATTTCAATATATGCACAGATATACAAAAATGTATAAATATGTACTCGTATATATACAAAGTTAGACTATTGCTCCATTGCCTCGTCGTCGAGTTGCTTTGAATTGCGGTGAGCTTCCGTCAAATGCTCCTGTCGCGAATGCTCAGCGCTGCGCACAAGGCACTCTTCATAATTCCACTTGGGGAAGACGCGCTTATAGAGATACATGAATGCCGTGTCGTAGGAACGCAGCTGGCTATCGAAATAACACTTCATGTGGCCGTGCGTGCCCAGCGACTCCTTGATGTGACCCATTCGACCACACTTGGTACGTAGTTTGACGGGCTTGAAGTACTCTACATCCTCCTTGTAGAAGAACATGTAGCGTATGGTGGCCGACTTGCGATTAATGCGCATCGGATGACCGCTAAGTACCACTCGCTTCAGCACTATGCGATCTGGATTGCAAGAGAGCAGACGGCCACGGGCAACCAATGCCAAAGAGGAATCGGGATTCACCTTGAAAGCGAGCACAGCGGCAGGAGGAAACTGTATCGGAGCATAGAAGGTGGCGCACACGGTCTCATATGGGCGGAAGAAACGCTCAAACTGCGGGAGAATATAAATCAGCTAATATTTGGGATAAAGTAGGAACACGGGACGCACCTTGTGTTTGTCGCCATTTGTGTGCTGACTGTAAATGGGATTGACAACAAATCGACGATAGCCACACTGGATAATCAGCTGCTCCTTGGACTTTAGAGGCACCTCGGAGTCGGGTATACGTTGAAGGACAACATTCATGACACACATCTGGTGTTCATGTGGTAGCAATCCATAAACAATGACATTATCCGAGAGGTGAGCAGATCGGAATGCATTCCAGCGGCTGGCGGGCACATTGATGACATGCAGCGTGATGTACAATCCGGGCTGTAGTATAAAAAGAAATTAACATGCTATCAAATAATATTTATTTCACTCTCTTACCAAAATGCCCTCGAATTCCTTGGCTTCTGCCAAAATGCGACGCTTGGTGCGATCGAAATTCTTGAACTGATAGATGCGTGCATAGTCGCTGGGCAGATTCTCTTTGGGATCCCAGGGCGATGTGCGAAACGATTCCAGGCCGCGATACTTTTGGAAGCGTTCGTGGGCGGGCACATCGAGAGGCGTGTCGATTTCGTCGGGCCACAGCTGATCGGTGCGAGCCAGTTGTAGCTTCTTTAAGGTCTCCCGCTCTTCCTGGAAATCCATTTGCTGATCGTATTTTTCGTCGTTGACAGCTGCCTCTGAGGTAATCGAAAGAGAGTCCAAATACTCTTCTGTATCCGAGTCACGCTTTTCGCACTCGTCCTCAAAGGACTTGTTATCACAGGACATAAAGTCCTCGTCTTCTTCGTCCCCACTCATGTCGTCATCTTCATCGTCATCATCCTGGCCTTCCACTTCCTCCACATCGGGTATCCAGGCAGCCTGGTACTCGCTGTAACCTTTGGGCACACGTTTGATCAACTTTGTCTTCTTTGTTTCCTTTTGTGCTGCCTCGATTTCCTCTTCTGTTGGCCACGTTTGCTCCGCATCCATGGGATCGGGTATATTTTCGGACTGCAGCGACGTCTGTTTAGCTGGATCGCTGCGATCGAGTAGACGCACTTCAGCCAACTCCCCGTCTCGGCTCTTGTCGAGCTTATTAGGATCGGGTGGCGCATCGACCTGGCCAAGCTGAAAGTCACCCAGTCCAGGTATATGCACCAGACCATTAACATTCAGTGACTGTCCTCGTAGATAGCCTGTCACTTTCAGAGTGCCCATCTCTCCATTTGGAACATATTCTACAATGTCACCAAACAAGTTTGGCCGGTTGTTAACGTTGTGTAGCACGCGTTTCTTCTGTCCACCAATGCGACGCATAACATTCAGACCTTCGGCGGAGGTGTCCATCTGCATGATCTTTTCCTCTGGCAGCAGCTTGCTTATAAATTTCTGTGCCGCCTGTTTTGCAGCAGTGCGACGCTTTGGATTAATGGATTCCAGATCCATTAGGGCCACAACTGGCGTCGGTATGCCTTGGGCTGATATCATATTAAATATACGTTGTCCCCAACGATCGAAGATTTCATCGTCACCAAAAGCCGCCGATGTCAGCATCAGCGTGGTATCGCACACCTTCAGATAATCCAGAACAATTAGTTCATTGCCTCGCCCAACGGGAGGAATGACAAAGGCGAAGCGCTGCTTGAAGCGCGGCAGATTCATGTAAACAACACCACTGGGTGACTTCTCCACAACGATTTCACTGTCGCAGCTCTGGAGTATAGCAACTGCCGAGTTGGCATCGATTTGCTCATGCATAGGCAGCACACACACCAGAAAGGGCGCCGTGTTTTGTCCACCCAATTGACGCTTCTGTTGCAGCACCTCATCGCGCTTGTTTTTGCGTAGTTGATTCATTTGGTTGCGTCGTTGCTCCTTGCGCTGCTGCAGCTTATGCTTATGCGAGATGGCCTTAAGACCAACTTTGCCTGAAGTAAACAAAAAATTCTAAGTATCATGTTTCACTGCACTTGTTGAGGTACTCATACCTTTGAGGGCATTGTCGATGGCGCCTTTGGAGCGATGACGTCCCGTTTTATGAGCTTTATTTGTTTGCTTCAGCGGTCCAGGCCGATGAAACGCGTGATCCGCCATAATTGGCTATTCTGCTACTCCAATTTAACAATAAAATATCCGTAATTCTTAAGCCGTTTTATTTTCGAGCTAAGCACATGTTTCTACTGCACCTATCGGCCACGATTTATCGATAACCAATCCCGAACAGTGTGTCCACACCAAGAACCCAATCTTTTAAAATGAATGACAGTGCTGGAAAATTAATGCAGGCAACCAGGGAATTGCGCGCGTATTCAAACTCGAAATAAAACAAGTTACAATTTTTCGTTAAACCACATTCAATGTAAATATGTATTTGTTGTTATGGTATATTTGTAGTACATTACATATGTATGCATGCATGCAAGCTTCTTGCTTAAAGATAACGCTGTTTATTTATATGTAGTTTACTTTCATTTTATATGATATAAAGTTTGCGTTGGTATTCCGAATGCATCCGTAGTTGAGTAGTTGTAGTGATTAACTGCATATATTGTATTGCATATAGAACATGCCAAACTTTACATAGAGATTTAGCTAACTTAATTGCATAGAGTATTTGATAGTTAAATTTTCTTTTATTTTTGTTTCTTTTCACTGGTGTAAATAATTTAAAATAGTTGTAGTCATTAATCATTAAAGATCTCCTTATCATTTTTTCCCGTTTTCATTTAGGTGTGAGGTTTTTAAAACTTAACGGTAGGCATAACACTTAACGATACATAATAAAACAGAAGTCTCAATAAATACAATTAATAGTTTTTGTTAAGGTAAATTGAGTGATTGTTTCTCATTAATTGGGTTTGGTTCAATCTAGATTGGTTGCTTCTGGGCAATGCCTTTATATAATATATGTGTATAAGCTAACGCCTATATTTAAATTTGTGTGGCAAATGCTCGATTCGCACAACGCGGTTATAATAAATACAAATTAGAGCGCCCGATTTATCGACGACGTGCTGGACAAATATCAATGATGCATGATTTTGCTGCACTTTGCGCCATTTGGGTTTCTTCGTTTCCTGCAAGGACTTTTCTATTATCCTTGCCAAAAAATAAAGTATGTACTTGTTTGTATATAGATATATCTGTATATGTATTCATGTATATATATTATCCAATATTTAACGCCCACTTATACAATTCCGATCCCCTCTCTACTTGTATCCTCCTCATACATCAATTTACACACAAACACATTCCGGTTAGGAGCTTTCTAAAATGTTTGCCTCACGCGTGCTCTATGAATAACCAATAATTTGTTTTCTTTTTTTTCTTCTTTCTTTTCTGTCGATTTGGCATTATTCATTCCATTTCTTTCTCCTTTCTTTTTTTTTTTGGGTTTTGCAAAGTTTTTCTTTTTGTACAAATTTGCGCTTTGTTTTGTGAGTTCTTTTTTTTTATGGGTTTTGTGCAAAGTTTTCATTGTGCTGGAAGAGAAACAATTTACATGTTCCTGCATTGAGCACAAACAGACCGAGCCTTTGTATTGTCACGCACAAAATCATGCACATTGAATTTTCCATCATCGCCATGCTCGTAGCCGCGACTCTTCAGCTGCCTGTGGAGAGAAGGGTGAAGCGAATGGACGTGTGTATTAGTACATAGATTATAGAAAGGGCAAGTAATAAATTTTTAACTGAAACCGAACTGTATTAAAGTCATATGCAGAAAAACTTTAGAGCTTATTAGAAACTCGAGTCTAACTCGCTTTCAAGTCAAATTATTTAGTGTCTCACCTGGCCACCGCTGTGAATGCCAGCTCCACATTGAGTCCGGTCTTGGCGGATGTCTCCATGAATGGTACGTCGTGCTCCCGTCCTAGTCGCTCGCCATCCTCGCGCTTCACCTGCCGCTCGCTGCTGCTGCAATCGGCCTTGTTGCCTGTGTGCGGATCAGAAGGGCGGCCAAAGCAGGGCATGTTGCATGTGGCATGTGGAGTGCGACAAAAGTTGCAAAGTTTAAACTCGTAATTCAATTAAGTGACCAACAGTTGGCAACCCAACCGCTGCAGCTGCAGCTGCAGCAGCAACTATAGCTGCTAAAAGCTGCCTTTAATCAAATCTATTTTGTGTTCGTCGCCGGCAAAGTGAATCTCACCTATTAAAACGATGACTACGTCCTCCTGCGCGTACTCACGTATCTCGCCCAGCCAGGCGCGTATGTTGTCGTAGGTGGTCTTGTTGGTCACATCGTACAGCAGCAGCAGCGCTGCAGCAGCCGGAAATTAACAAAGAAAATAATGGGAAATCGCATCAGAGGCCCAAAACTCAATTGCAACAGCTGTTGCACTCACCGTGGGCATCGCGATAATAGGCGTGGGTTACGCTGCGAAAGCGCTCCTGTCCGGCCGTATCCCAGATCTGTAGCTTGACGCGCGTGCCATCGACAACGACCACCTTGTTCTGCAATCGAGTTATGCGGCAGATGTTATGTAAAAGGAATTTGTTATTGCCATGAAAGGGTCATTGTGATGCGAAATGCAATTAATTTACAAAATGTGCATGCCAAAGAGAACGCCAAATGTAAGAGATATATGTTTATAAAGAGAGAATGAGAGTGAGAGAGAGAGAGAGAGAGAGAGGGAGAGATAGGGCACAGATGGCTCTGCGTATACTTAATTAAATGGGTTCAGGGGCACATGGAGTATACGTAGCGTTGGCCCAAAGTGGATACATATCAGGTGCTAAAATTACATGAATACAACTACAGTTAACATGCAGATTCAGCATCATTATTGACCTCAAGGCAGAGGGCAAGCACCAGCACTAATCAGTGGCTACTCAGACAGTCAGTCTACATAGCATACAATGAAAGCGGGCAATAAGACAAACATCATCAAGATATGTATTTGTCTATATGTGTGTGTGTGTGTGGATGACAGCCACATTGACTTGCTTTTATTGTATGAAATACATATATATAAAATAAGAAGAAGAAGAAAAAAAAAACATATCAAAAAGAAAGCAAGAACAAATCGAAAGCAAACGTCAAATTTCTAGCTAAGTAAACAAAAAGTCAATGTACTGAGCCAACATTGAATATAATTTACTGTGAAATTCATTTAGTGAAGCACAGTGGAAACGGTCTACATAAATAATGAATATTTCAATGATGTATTCAAGGCAAAATGAAAACTGAATACATAAGTACGTACATACATATCACATAAGGCTGTGTGTATTGCATATCCCCAGGCTTGGCGCGTATTAAATTCACGAGCTCAAAGATTATGTTCGAGAAAAAAAAAAAAAAAACATACACTAAAAAGTCGCAAGTTTCAATATGTTCAAATTATACATTTATTACACAAAATAAGCATACAAAATAAATTATTAAAAATTAAATGTTTTCCGTTGCATTATACATTAAATATGTTATTTCTTTTCGCTCTATTTCACGCAACATTTTTTTGCTCTAGTTTAGATTTTCATAAAATTTATTCAATTTCATTTCGTTGCAACCTTCAATCGGTCGTCAAGGCAACAAAAATCATTATAGAAACGAAATGCGCGCATTTATGCTACGGAATTTGACGGAACAAAAGTTGAAAGGCAAAAATAGCCGCACGTGTCCATTCAATGAGCTGGCAATTGTCCAAAGGACATTTATATTGCTAATGGCAGACATGGCGAATACTTGTAGTATTATTGCGCTTTAATAAATTTATGTGCCATGTGAGCCCTCGGCAATTTTCACGATAATAAAACCTCTAGAAGTTGAAACAAAAACCCCACAATAATAAGCATAATAAAAGCAACAACATCAACTTAAATACGAGTAACAACAAGAGTACAACACAGAGGGAGACAGACAGGCTGGGAGGACACAAACACACACACACACACACACACAGACAGAGACAGACACACAGCCATCAACAAGTCCTTTTTAAGTTCATATGCTTTTGTAATAAATAACCGCCGAAGAACTTTTGCCGCAGCAACGCCGGCAACTTGGAGGCACAGAGCTGCGGGGGGGAGGACGGAGCTGGGTAGGTGATAGGGGGTAAGGGGTTGGGGGAAGCTTGAACACGAGCTAAGCTGGCGGGAAAATATTTTACTAAAGAGAAACGCCACAGCAGCTGAAGAACATGAAAACCGCAAAACAAACAGACAAAGCACTGCACACACACACACACACACACACACACACAGGCACAGACAGAATCAAGTATAAGCTATAGCCGACATTTGGATGACCTGTAATATATACAATATGTAGCTGAGCACAGAATACAGATACAGTCAACACATAGCTGGATAAACAACATCGATTATAGGGAATTACAGTTAGCAGTCGCTGGCAGCAGCTGCGGTTTGTTTGGATTGGACAGGCACAGTGAAAGGAAGAAAGGGTGTTAACAGGGGAAGAAGAAGTTAGATAAACTTATTTTCACACACAGACACACAGACACACACAGTCACACAGACAACAAAGATGAAGAAAAAGTTAATGTGTAAGCAGGTGAAAATTGTATTCAAAGCCTTGACAACTGTTGACAGCGTACAGACAGACACAACAGTTGGCAAACGGAATGGGGTGTACAGATAGAGGGAAAGAGATAGATAGACAGAGAGAGTGAAAGAGAGAGAGAGAGAGAGACAGTTAGAGACACACAACAATTAGTAACAACAATAAACACAACAGTAACACACACAGAGAAAGAGAGTGAGAGAGAGAGAGAGAGAGAGAGAAATCGCTTACCCTAAAATCAATGCCAACTGTGCTCAGAAAATAGCTGGGCACATAGCGACCATCGCGAAATCGAATCAAAAGCGACGTTTTGCCCACTCCCGAGTCGCCCAGCATTATGACCTGGCCAACAACAACAAGCATGTGTGAGTGTGTGTGTGGGTGAGTGTAAATGAAGAAAAATACATTGAGCATTATACAAAAATAATTGATGTGTGCATGTATGTAGCATATGCCAGGCCAACATGATGTTGCTGTATATGTATATGTATATATAAATATGTATATATTTAATAAGCTTCAAAAGGAAACCCCAAAAATAAAATAAAAGCAGCAGACAGCGGACTTGCTCTGCGGCTGCTGTTGATTTAGCTGACTGCTCTCGCCTAAATTGGTTGCTACAGCAGCAGCAGCGCAGCAGCAGCAGCAGCAGCAAGCAATTAAAACTTAACTCCAATGCTATATCAACATGCCACGCTGGAGATTCCACGAAACTGAAGCTGCAATGCGCATCTCAAGTCTGGAATGGCAGATGCTTGATTTATAAATTGTGCTCCAAATTTAAATAATGCTTAGGAATAAAGTGGAAACGTTTAGCGCTGCCGTAATGTATAACTAAATGTGAAACATGCTAATTAATAATGCTAATTAAAGCCAAGTTCAAGTTCATCTTAATCTTTTGTAAATTTCTAATGTATATTAACTATTAAGCCCGACATTAAAGCACTTGAGAGCGCGCCACAGCTCCTGCGTCTGGTTTCTGCCATGAAATGTTTACTGAAGCGTTCAAGTTCATAAAAATAATAGCGACGTTTTTTTGTCGACATTCAGAGTCTGTTCTGTTTTTTACTTTACTGCACCGTGATTAAAAACAGCTTAGCTTCAGCGAGCAACAAGGGAAATGGCAGGCTTCGGGCCATGAAACAGATATTTGAAACGCTTCTTATATAGTATATGCACAATCCAGTTTGGAGTTTCATAGAACTGAAAATTGCTTTGCTATTTAAATAGGCTCTCAGCTCGTAATTAACAGCATTGGGAATTGGCGCTGCCTTTGACCTCAGCAAATAAACCAACTAATTTGCGTATTTTACGCAAAACTTAATCATTTGACGGCGCACACACACACACACACGGCGTATACGCAACGCAGCTCGTATAACTTATGCAAATGTTTGCGCTGAGCGTGAAGTTTGTTTGCCAGCTGAAAAACTTGGCCAAACAGAAGCAGCAAAGCCAAATATATATATATGTGTGTAGTATGTATGTAGTTAAATATATTTTTAGTTTTTCATTTAACTAAAAGCAGTAATAGAGTATTTTAGTCATAGTTAGCTGAGCTTTTTTTTTTACTGGAAACTCCATTAATTTCCGGGAATTTCGCTCACAATCGAAATTGCAGTGAATTTGCTTTTGAGTGCATTGAAGCTGCGCATTAACTTTGCTTTCTTTTGCTTTTATTGTTTCATATTGATTATTATTATTTCTTGCCTTTTTATGCCTGTTGCACAGCTGGGCGAGACAGCAGTCGCAGCCGGTGCCGGACCATTTGTCGTACTTCTAGCGAATTGCGCTAATGAAAAGCATAAAGCTAAACTGTTTTAGCAGCGCAATAGCCGCCATTTATTGACAGGACACACTGAAGGACACACGCGGGCGAGCTGAGGCCCAGCGACAACATGTTGACAACGAAATTCCAAAATTTAGTTCGCACTGCGATTCACTGTTGCCTTTGCAGAGAGCAACAGAAGAGTCTATTGTTTAATTTGCCTCTTTTTAGCATTTGATGACTTTATTTTTGAGCTGCTTATGTAAATGGCATTGTAAATCAGGAATGTCGTAAAATCGTACAAATAATGCGACTGTAAATAACACGAGGCGAAGTCGTTAAAGACGCAGGATTCAGTCAGGCGCACGGGCGAACAGACAAACAGAGAGACAGTCAGAGAGTCAGACAAGCGGACAGATAATCAGTCAGACTGAGCTGCACGTAAATCAATTTGCGGCTCAGGCTCTGATAAAGAGCCTTGGCTGGGATTTGGCAGCCTGTTTAGCCGCTTATAAATACTTATAAATTTCGGGAATTTCGTTTGCTGTCGTCCTTTTTGTAATGCAAATTGTCAGAGTCAACAGGCTTTTGGTCGTGCGCACTTAAGGTTCGTGTCGTGTTGGTTGTTTAGTGTGTTGCTGTGTGTGTTTCATTGTCACCTTGCCCATGATATCGAAATCCTCATCCTCGTCCTGCCCAGGTGTCGAGGAAATCATGCGTATGAGCGCGCGTCCAGCTGATTTGCAGAGCGTGGCACCGGCGCCATCGCTGCCAGGTGCAGCAGCAGCCGCACCACCTTCTGCCCCACCGCCAGCACCTGCGCCTCCACCTCCACCTCCTCCAGTATCCAGGAGCGGCTGCTGCTCGGCAGCTGCGTTGATTCGCATGCTGCTTAGAAATCTGCTGCTGAAACCATTTCCACTCGACTGCGACTGAGCCTGGGACGACGTCTGCTGCTGTAGCTGTTGTTGTTGCTGCTGCTGTTGCTGCTGTTGCTGCTGTTGCTGCTGGAGATGATCGCGATAGAGTTGCGATGGGCTCATGTATTCGGGCAGCAGCGGCTGCTGGGACAGCGACTGCTGGCGCTGATGCACAATGACGCTGGGCCGACGCTTGGGATAGCCATCGTCATCCGAATCATCCGAGGCGATGCCGTTGATTTTGTCCAGGGTCTTGGGCGGCAGCTGGCCAGGTGTAATATGCTGCCAGGTGGGCTTCACCAGCGACTCGCGGCGCGTGGGCGAGGCGTTGCTCACACTTGTGACCAGCGATGCCTTGCGAGTTGCTCCAGTGCTGGTGCCAGCGATGGAGTCGCTGCGATAGCGCGTTTGCTGACGTCGCATCTCTGAAACCGCTCGAATATGCCGCTTTCAATCCGCAAGACAATCAATTCGCTGCTGTATAAAGGTGCAAATGCAAATTGGCTTGATTCAATTTCAAACACGCCAGCGTACACAATAAATCAATAAACTAACTGCTACCCCTCATCATCATCATCAGAATCAGAATCACCATCATCAACATCATCATCATCGTCATCATAATCCGAGCTCATAATGACGCACAGTCCCAACAGCAAACCCACCACAGCAATAGCTCACTCAGTCCCCGGACCCAACTTCAACTCGACAACTCGACTCGCATTTGTAAATCGAAATCGGGTTGCCAACTTTGCTGAGGCAGCGCATAAAGCAAAAGACAAAACTTTTGCCCTAAAAACCTCATTAAAAATCATAAAAAATAAAAATAAAAATGAAAACAACAAAGTTCAAAGTATACGAATAACAACAACCACAACAACAAATAATAGAGCTCTATATATAGTCCAGCGTAATCATAATACAGTCGCTGAAAATTTAATAAACTTCGTCAGTTATAATTTACTTTGGCCAGTTGAGCAAAAGCAAATTAAAATTCAGAACTCAGCAGCAGGCGGAACTTTAAAAAGAGCCAAAAGGCAGTTAGACACAGGCACAGCGGGCACATTGGATACGGTACAGGTAGACAGGTGCACAGGTGCAAATTGAATGTAATTGGCTTGCCAACAGCAGGGTCGCAAGGCAGGACGAAAACCGAAACCGCGCAAGGTTAGCTTTCCCCCAGGGCCACAGATGTTGCTGCTATTGTCGTTGACACCCACACTCACACTCTCACACACTGACACAGACACAGACACACACACACGCATGGCCGAATGGCCGGATTATAGTCCGGGAGTTAGGTGGACCACCGTCGCTAAATCAACAGTTGGCAAGCAGAAACCACAAAAGCCAACAAACGCACGCCTCAGCGCAGCATTTTGGATAATAATTGGGAATTGAAAAGGCTTCATCGAGAGCGGCGCAACCACGTGATTAGCCCACATGCCTATTTACGCAACTGTTTTAAAATTGTTTCACTTGCCATTAGGAAAAGTTATGGGTGTGCGGGAAAAGCCTGCTCAAACACGTTATCTAACCCGAAAAACTTTTCAAAATGAATAAAGTATAAAATTTAAATGCAAATTTGACATGGAAAATCTAGTTAGTTTGGGGGTAAAAATACTCTTGAATAGGACTGCTTTAGGAAGCCCCACAAGTCGAAAGTTTCTGTGATTTTCCATACGAAACCTGATCATTGCCTGGAACTGTCCAGTTCAATGTCATGCAACTAGAACATTCTCATTTAAATTCGATATATTTTATGCTCGTTTCTGAAGCTAAAATCAATAATAAATAACAACAATTTTGCGTTTGCTGCAGCTGATGAAACTTTTCTGCCAAGCGAAATATTTGCATTGACATTTGTTCGACAAAGTTTTCTGATTTTTGTTTTTTGTTTTTTTACTGTATTGAACGTCTGTCAAACAGGAGGATAATAGGATTGTCAATACTACATAATGCTGGTGCGCATATAGTTTCACAATTTCACAAGAAACCAGCCGACGAGACAGAGGCAAACAGTTGATTGGCACGGCGGCGTAGTGTGCAAATCGTACTGCCAATTCACCTTTGCCCGGGCACACTTCAATGTCTTAAACGTTGGCATTAAAAAATAATGAAAGAAAGAAAACGTTTTTATATACACAAAATATATTTATGCGAAGCCTGAATAGCAGCCAGCCGGGCGAAACTTATTTCGTACCGTCTGGAGTGCCGCTGTCTGTGTGTAATTGGGCCCAAGTCCCAGTTACAGCTGCCCGGCGCCACAGCAGCTCTTTAAATAAAGTTCATCGCCTGTCCGCACGTGCCCCGACTTGACTACACTTGAGGACCCGGCGAACTATGGCCCAGAAATTGCAGCGAGAGGCTCAGGGCCAACGTACTGGGGGCTTAAATTGTAAGCCGATATCACTCGAAGCCAAAGGACTCCACTACATAAAATTAGGAGCAGCGAAAAGTGTGCATTACATGACAATTAGAGCGCAGTGTGAGCGGCCCCAGAGGGCGCCTAAATGAAAATAAATTGCGAATATTTGGCGAAAATAAATGTCAATAGATCAGCAAATTCCCGTCTCAAATATTTCCTATCATATTCATGCTAGTTTATGTCATCTGCCCTCGACGTATCAAATATCAAATTTATTATTTTCAGCCGCATCCTTTTCTAATGTGCGACCTTTTCGGCCAACGGGCGCAACCTTTTCCATTCGCTGGGTCAACTTATTTTTTGCGCAGTGTATCGACTCATAAAAATGACCTTATCGTATTAGTGCAGCATAAAATGATATATAATCAACTTTACATTGGCAATCTGGATGCTGTTATAAGAAAACTTTTTAATTGGGTTGCCATCGCAACGAGCTGCTTCAACGGCTCGAGCGGCTCCAATGGCTCCAACTGGAAAATTGTCAGCGACAATAGAGCTGCGTGATGCCTGAATGAATCGAGGAGCAGCATTTCAGACTGCGCGTAATTACATCAATCTGAAGCAGAAATGAACCCTCCATTCACGACCGATTGAGCATGTTTCGTAAAGCCTACGCAGCATAAGCGCAGACTCTACCTACGTCAAAGGCTGGCTACTTACGGGGACTGTCTATGCCTCTCCAAAGTACACGGTTTCAATACACGCAGACACACAGTCAATCATGCGTTCAATCGGGCGGCTAAAAGTGGGCAGCGAAGAGGCGCAGCTGGCAGCAGACAATGGCTTTCTGATTGCATGGACAGCTTTAAGGAAATGGCCAAAACACACAGGCAGGAACCGAGCACAGCACAGCACAACACAGCACAGCACACCATATGTGGGCGTGTGCGTGAGTGGGCGTTCCAGTTTATTTTAACAGAAAACTGGCGAGCCAATGCTGGGCAACCAAACGGACAGCTTTACATTGATGTGCGGCTGCCGTAAAACGTTTTATGATGGCATTTGTGATGAAAGCCACTCAACAGCTAGTTGCAGCAGCATGACTACAAGAGGATACGACAGCATACACAGTGACAACAACAACAACAGCAACAACAACAACAACAACAACAACAACTGACAACAGCAAAGATTTGCTATAGTAATCGGCTTAAATTGCATTTCCGTAAAAACTTTCGCAACGGAAAATGTCGCAACTGAAGCAGTTTCCATGGAATCCCTAGGCTCCTGCCTGGAATTTGAAAAGTGGTTTTTAATTAAGCCAACCTTGAACTTGAGCTACCTGCACACAATGCAAGTGGCCGCACGGAATAGAAATTGACTTTCGATTATTGAATGCACAACAGGCGTATAATTAATACGCAGTTGAGCAAGATAAATGCGCTCGAGGACATCTGCAAAACGAGCAAACGAACGAGCTGTCGATGCGTGCGACAACACCGACAACACAGACAACAACAACAACAACAACAAAAACATCACATTCGCAGTCAATTGCAGAGGGACTGCATTAACAGACTATAAATAAGAGAGAACGACAAATCGGATTTCTAGTGAAATATATGTGGAATGGATGTATGCAGTATATATGAGATATAAATGCTGGCTTTAAATCAAATTATTTGTGTGCTCAATGTGGTAGAAATTTATGCTTGAGTTTAGCATGATTCAATTGATATAGGTAAATTTTAAACTAATAAATAAATAACTAATTTAATTACTTATTAGACTATTTTCTTTTGATACAAAAAATGTTTTAACAAATCAAATAGAATTAATTCTAAGTACTTCCAAAAACACTTTAAATATGGCACAAAACAAATTTGCAAAGTGAAGCAACAATAATTTAATTAAGGCATATTTGCTAATATACACTCAAACACACACACACACACAGGCACAAATCAATTTTTATTAGTTGCCTTCCATAAATTGTTTTCATCTATTTTGAAACGCGCAGACATCAAAAAGCCCAAACACACACAGTCATATTCTCTATAATATACAGTTAGACACACACACATACACACACGCACTCAAGCACACACAGCATTGAGCAGCCAATAACTGAAAATGCTGCAAATTGCACCAAAGTCGTGGCGCGCTCAAAAGTATGCAACGAAATTTTTCAGCATTCAATGCACAGTTTCTGTATGAAAGGAGCTGTGCTTGTGTGCGTGTGTGTGTGTGAGTTTTTGCGTTTGACAACACAATGTTCGAAGCGTTCTTTTTCACTTTACATTACTCAACGACAATGCCGTTTGAAAAACTGTGCACAGTAACTGAAATTTGAATGGATGCTGTGTGAGCAATTGCGCGACCGTCAATCGAAGCGTCAAGAGCAGCGCACAAAACTAAACTGAGCACGCAGCCAGAATCATCGAAAGCAGCAGGCGACAGCATCCAGCGCCAAAGTGCTTCAGCTATTGGCCCGAATCGAGCTCGTGCAACTTCGGCTCGCACAGCAGCAGCAACAGCCCTGGCCTAGAAATGCGTACAGCCAATGTCGGGCACGCGCCAGAAGTGCGTCCAAAGGGACTGCTGGAGTGTGGCACGAATATGTGGACCAGGTGGCAGGGTTGAACCTTGGAAAAATATAACTGTTGCACTTGAACTTCATTGGCTTGATGGCCGACATGCTGCTGCGGCTGCTGCTGCGTTGCTTCGTGCTGCGAACTGCGAAAGTGAAAGCCGGCAACAGGTTGTGAATACAAAATTCGTTGCCTACTTGAGGGCGCACTCGAAAGCTTGCAGCTGGAATTAATGCAATTTACCGTTCATTTCGGAATATTCCACTGAAATTGAGGTAACTTTTTTGTAAGGAGAATATTCGTAAGTTCATTGAAAAGAATATAAGAAATTATATTTTGTCCTCTATTTTGTCCTCTATTTAAATGAAAATTATAAAACGTAATTTAAATTTAAATGTTTTTTTTTTGTTTAAGACTATATCTATTACCCTTAAATATTCTCTTATACTTTTTAAATAATAATATCCTTGCTACTTTGACGAGAGCTTTATAATAATAATTTCGTTAAGATCTAAGTCGTAATCAGCTAATCAATCAAATTGTTGCGATACCTTTTGCCATCGCTAATGCGTGACGTGTCGTAAATATTATGAAGTGCGCATTCACACACACACACACACATACAGCCACATACACAATACATACACACCCACCCATACATATACTGGCATTGCCTAACGTGTCGCTTTTATGGAGTTATTTTTATGCCATCGGAGCAACAAAATCAATGCGAATGCGCTGCTGAGATTTGTGTGCGATATAAATAGATTTCAGCATGAAGTACATGAAAACGCCCCGCAACACAACAATATGTTGCTTACAAAACCCTTGCGGCTGCTGCTCAATTACAGTTACTCACACACACACAAGCACACACCAGCACAGACAGACACAGGCTTAACTAGGCGCGCACAGCAAAGCCACGAAATAGGATTATGAATCTATCTGTGTTTTTGAAAGCCTCAGGAACGTAAACTTTGGGCATGCACAGGTGAAGGGAGAAGGATGCACAGATGCGTTGCTTAAATGTCATTAACTTACTCTCTCTCTCTCTCATTTGTTAGGACTTACCGTTAGTGCAATGCCAACGGTGGCAGAGAAGGAGCCCAAACGAAACTCGCCCGTATTGTATTTGACCAGGAAGGAGGTTTTGCCCACGCCAGAGTCACCCAGCAGGATCGTCTTGTGATTGATGGTGTCGTCGAAGGGCTGCTGATGGGCTGGTGGCGCTGTCTGATGCATGTCCACCTCGTCGTAGCGATACGAGCGCCAGCCATCATCGTAGTCATCCTCTAGCTCGTAGTCCGCATTGCCGTAGGCATACATCTGCATTGCTTCGCGGGATGGCCGATAGCCCGGATAGCCGGTGGCGGAGCGCTGAACGGGAGCCATGATAGCATCATGGTCATGGTAATGATGGCTACTCGTCAAGCTCTGCTGGCTGCTACTGTGATTGGTGTTGGGGTGGTGATGATGATGGTGCTGATGCTGCGACACCGGCGCTGCCACCGGATTGTAGCAGCCATCGCCAAAGGGGCGACGGCGCAGCTCCTCGATGCGTGCTTTGGTCGTTTCCGCATCCTCGAAAACATCGTCGCTCATGCTGCTCGCATCGTCAAGATGCGTTGTTGATGCTGTTGTTCCTCCAGTTGTTGTGGCGTTTGCCATTTTGAGGTTTGTGTCTTGGCTAAGCAGAAGCAAAGCTGAGCTTTTAACTTGATATCCACACGAAGGCGTGCTTTTAGGCGCTCGCACGCGCAAGTTCGCTCTTTCACTCTTTTGCTCACTCTCTCTCTTTCTCTCCCTTTATTTCTTTGTTTTCCTCTGTATCGCTCTCTTTATGACTTTGACATTTAGCGACGTCTGGCAGTCCGGTTTATGGCACGTTTTCTGAATGAATTTGATTTAGGGCCTGCTGCGGGGGCTGCAGTATGCGTGGCGGCTCTTTATTATTTATACATATGATATATGTATGTGTATATTTATATATAATGTGTATATATATGTATGTGTATATTTGCTCTAAACTTAATAAGTAACTTGGCTAAGCTTATCTATATTGAAATTCCCTAAACGTATATTCGTTAGTTTCTTTTCAATTGAACTTTGATTTGGTTTTTTTCCTTTGTTGGAGTTTTTGGTTGTTGGTGTTTTTGGTTGCTTGGTGTTTTAATTAAAGCCACTAATTAATTGTTAAGTATAAATTGTAACTAGCTAAACATATTGATTAGTTCATCTACGGGTTAAGCGCTAATTGGTGCTGTTTTTTTTTTTTTTTTTTTTTTTTTTTAGTTTTCTTACTAGATTAATTAGAGTTAATATTAGTACAGTTTTTCTTCCTGTCGTCTCTGCTTGGTGTTTTGTTAAAGCTTTTTGTTGAATTAGTTTTTGTTTTTGTTTGTTTAGTCTTTCTCTTCAATTTTCAATTAAAATTTGCTTCAGCGAAAATATTGCGTTTGATTCTTGGCATGTTTATTTTTTTATTGGGTTTTCTTTTCGTTTCATTTGTTTTGTTCTTTTGTTTATTTGGTGTTTTTGGTATTTCACTATCACAGCGTAAATAAATATATCGTTAATAGCGTTGCCTTCGTCGCCTGCTCCTCACTAATTAGATAGCCATGTTGAGCCCCCGGCCGCAGTTCGACATCCACTTCCACTTCCAGTTCATCCGATGCTGACGTCTTCATTTCCCTTTGTTATCTTTCAAACGTAATAACGGCAATGGCATCCTGCGCCCCAGCGCCGCATTTAGTGCCATTCATCGACCCAATCTATGACGACAAAGCAGGCCCAATTGACATAGGCAACAACAACGTATTTACTATAGGCTGCCGCAGCTCGACATCCTTTTTGGGTCATTGTGTGTGTGCGTGTGTCAACGTGTGCGCGTATGCATGTGGCTGTGTGCGTGTGTATGTGTGCTTGTCGTATGCGGCCTGTTTTCACATTTTCGATTTCCTTGCGTTTACTTGATTTGCGAACAACACACTACGATTAAGAATTACTGTTTGGATCTGTATGCGGTGCTGTCGAAAATGGCGTTATCACATTGTTATTTATTTAGTAGTATAAAAATCATTTTGCACTCTACACTCTCGCGCACACACTCAGACGTTGCAAATTTGATTTATTTTGCTCGCACTTGAAGCAGTGACACCAAGTCACATTAACATCATAATGCTGAATAAGTTCATGGACGGATTTTTATGCTGTTTGTGTGCGGCCACACCTTACGATCCACACTTTAAACTCCACTCCTCTTCATCCACAACAAATTTCTAGCAACACTATCTGGCAACCGATGCCTGGTGGCGGGCAGCCGATAACACGAGTGTAATTGAAGGTTTTATTTACTGTCAGTGATGCGGTCACATTGTTTGCAACCAGTGTAAATGTCAGTCGCAATTTGTTTTTAAAAGGCTTAGAGTTTGGAATTATTACAAATTTAACGAAAATCGAGCAACAAGAACGTTAATTAAACGGCAATTCAAGTGCTACTAATTTGTATTTCAACGGAGGAACAAGAAAAGCCTCAAAATCGGTAAAGTGGACGGCAACACAATGGGCAGCTCGGACGATCGCGTCTATGCTGCCGAAAAAATCATCCAGAAGCGCGTTAGAAAGGTACGTTCTAGAAAATAAACAAAAATAATAATGCAACTGCAACGCATGCGAAAGACAAATATGCGCAGCTCACAACTACAAGGTCACATGTCCTTCGAAATTTCGAGCAGAGGCTCGCGTCGTCCATCTGCTGGCAGCTGCGCCAATGTCTCGTGCTGTCGCCGCTGCTTCTGCTGCAGCAGCAGCTTGTGGCAGTAGCAACCACCATTTACGCTGCGCGTGTGTGCATATGAGTGTGTGTGTTGTTGTTTTTGTTTTTAGTCTGTTCTACATATCGGCATCGATGAAAAATCAATTAGTTCGCCTTTTGCCGTGTGTTTGGAACGCGCCAAATGTATGTTTCAATGTATGATCGATCCTGACTGAAAATAGAAGAAATATAAATTTATATTTATTTAAAAAAAATAGATATTATTTATGCAAATTTTTCTATTTTTTATTTGAACACCTCTTTTAATATACTTATTTATATTTCAGGGTGTTGTGGAGTATCGTGTCAAGTGGAAGGGCTGGAACCAACGGTACAACACATGGGAGCCGGAGGTAAACATCTTGGATCGTCGTCTAATTGACATCTATGAGCAAAGTAACAAATCCTCTGGCACGCCTTCGAAACGTGGCGCTGCGCTTAAAAAGGAAAAGAAAGAAAAGGAGCCAGATCCAGACCCTGAGTCTGAAGAGGATGAGTATACATTCACCGGCGACGATGTACCTGATACCAATCAGGCAACAACATCGTCAGCTGCCACAACTAACGATGGCATTGATAAAAAGGAGAAGGATAAGAAACACCATCATCACCATCATCATCATCACCAGCAGCAGCACAACAGCAGCAACAACAACAACCAAAGTATCAAGTCCGAACGTATTTGTAACCGGCGATCTGAATCGCCGTTAACTCACCATCATCATCATCATGAGGCGAAGCGTCTGCGCATAGATCACAGCTCCTCATCGAATTGCAGCTCAACGCACAATGAGAATACGTTTGTACCGGAGGCAGACACCAATTCATCAAGCTCAGAGGATCAGCCACTTATGGGCACCAAGCGGAAGGCTGAAGTTCTCAAAGAATCGGGTAAAATTGGTGTTACCATTAAAACCTCACCAGATGGACCGGCAACCAAACCGCTCAACTCGGCGCTGGAGCAACAACAGCAGAATGCAGCGGATGCGCCAGCACAACTACACAAAACAGAGCCGCAAGGGACGCCGCACGGTGCTCAAACAGAAGCTGGTGAATCTTCTGCGCCCGCCTATAATGAGGAGGAGGATGATGTGGGTCTAACGACTGCGGGGCCACCATCAGAGAACAACAACATACCTAAACTTTCTGGTGCCCTGGCGTTGAGTCAAAAGCAACCGGTTAGCCCGCTGTCACCGCGTGCATTGCCTCCCCGCTTCTGGTTGCCCTCCAAGTGTAAGATGTCGAATCGTGTGGTCATCACGGATGTTACTGTCAATCTGGAGACAGTCACCATAAGAGAGTGCAAAACCGAGCGAGGATTCTTTCGTGAGCGTGACATGAAGGGTGATTCCTCGCCGGTGGCCTAATCCATCGCCTTGCTCCATATTCAAATGTAAATAGTTTTACGTAACAAAGCAAACATCCATACTAAATGTTGCAAAGCATTTTCTTTTAAGCAACAACTTATTTATTGTATTATTTATAGCCTAGAAACTAGATTGTTGTTTTATTACAATGTTTAAAGAGCAGCTTCCAGGTGTTGCACAGCAACGAATGCTGAAATTTCATGTGCAACTGTTCAACGTTCGCGTCTGCGCAACGCCTGTTGGCTCAGATAGTTGTATGTCTAGTAGTTTAGCAGAGTATATAACATTATATATATATATATATATATATATATATATATATATATATATATTTATTTAACATATATGTATATTTTTCTATAACAACTTGAATCTGATAGAAACCAAAACACACTCATATATACGCAACAAATCCATGCGAAACTGAAGCAATTGCTATTACGCTTGATATACACATTTACATTATACAAAAGCCTACCATTAATACACACATATATACATATGAATATATAGAGTTTATATAATACGTTAAGAATGTTACAAAACAGCAGCTGCTTTAATATTTAAATGTTTTATGTTTTTTTAAATCATCCAATATTTAGCGCTGACTGAATTGGAACATACATATATGAAGAAAAAAAAAAAAAAAAATCATAATATCTAAGTTGATGCATGAGTATAGATTTTAGCATATTATTATCTATAATTACATTATTTATTTTAAATATTTAGTTTTTAAGTTGGATTGTCTAAGATATGTTGACTCTATTAGTTCCCAAATGTGCAGTGCACATCCAATTCAGTCCAAAATTGACTGGGGCTGATAGACTCGACAGTTTTTCACATGATTTACAACTCCTTTTAAATCGTTTTGTACATTTTTTTGATATATTTACTTTAAATAAACAACGCACAAAAAGAACAAATATCATTATTGATTTTTGTTCATTTTGAAATATATATTTTATAATCATGTACGAGGTATTTATTGGCTAGTTTTTAGTTGCAGCGCTAATTCCATCAACAAAAACAAATAAAAAGAAAAACAAGACATTTTCAAGTTTGTAATCTACTCTAACTGTAATGTTATTGCCAGTATCAACGGTAATTAAATTAAATAGAAACATCAAAGACTATTTTTATTAAGTAATTTGTATCTTCGTCAATTATGAACTATATTCGGGAATACCATAGCGTACAAAACAACAAACAACATTGTTAATATCTGTATCATTCAATAGATCATAACTAGCAAGTATGTACAAGTTGAGAATTCATTTCATCTAAATCTTCTCATAAGGGTCTGCATTTGCTTATGAATGAGTTGATGATCGGCGCCACCTTCTCGGGCTCATTGAGGTGGACGTGATGCGTTCCCTCAACTTCGTGATATTCAAAGTTCGGATTCTGCCGCAGCACCTCCAAGGCAGCATCATAGTATTTCTTGTCCTCATAGTAAGGTGCCTGCAGTGCCTTGATGAACAGATGAGGCGCCGTGATGCGCGATGCCATTTCCAACACCATCTCATTGGAGAGTGTGTAGAACAGAGAGGTTTTCAGGCGATTGTCGCGGGAGAAGTAATATTTGTGAGGCTCGTGGCTGGACGGTTTACTGTTGCGCTGCAACAGATACTTGCAAGCCTCCAAGTCGACGGACTTGTCCGTGCCGTGATGCAGGCGCTCTACCAGTTGATCCCATTCGTAGGCAGGGGGCTCACTGTTGCTGCGTAATCGACGTTCCAATTTGAGAGAGTCCGATAGGCGTTCGGATAGCATATTTACAATATACTTCGGACTGCGTATGAGGGGCTTGAGAATGTCTAGACCAATCAACATATCCAGTTTGTCTGGGAATAGTGAAGCGAAAACGAAGCCATTTAAGGAGCTCATTGAGTGGGCCATTATGGACACTGTTTTCCAGTTATATTCCTCCATTATACGCAGAACCAGCTGAACATAATCTATGGAGTGATACATAACGCCTGGCGGCAACCATGAGGAGTGCCCGTGACCCGGTGCGTCTATGCTGAGAAAGGAGAGATGCGGTGGCAGTAGCGGTGCGAGTGTGTCGAAAGTGCCAGCATTGTCCTGCCAGCCGTGCATGCCCAGAATCGGGCGTACATGCTTCGGTCCATACCATTTGCCAGCTATGTGACCCCAGGGAACTGAGATGCTAACCTCGTCATACTGCAAAATGGGATAATAACTCATAGAAATTCAAGGCGAATGCTAAATAATTATGTTACTTACATGTTTTGTTAGTGTCTTCAACGAAGTTGATGAACTTTGACCGTGTGCCAGGCGAAAGTTCTGCTTGGATCCACTCGTAAGTTTCTGTAGCAGGCGCAAACTTCTTTGGTTTATCATTTCCTCAGAGTATATTATGTGAGTATATTGTAATATTGAATAATATTATCGCGGGACTATAGCGTCAGACTTGCTTGCTCACTGTGATGACAAGAAACATCTGATTACATGTTTTGTGGCTGAGATTTGACAATATAAATTGATAATTACGATAACGAAATTTAGATACCCTACTCAGCATAGAGATATACAAGTGCATTCTCAATATATCTTAGAGTAAGATAATGCATAATTCAAATTTTTAAATCGTTATTAACTTTTTAATTATTTACAAAACATTAGAAAAATATAGATTATTCTCATTATGATATGAATTTATTTAATTACAAACGCCTTCAAAGTTTCCAAGTACGGCACACGTGTGAAACTATCGGTTCTGTCTTAAACAATCGATAGTTTCAAAACTTGGAAAGTTTATTTCTCCCATCTCTAGAATTAGATTTCGCTCTCTCGCTCCAGCTCCAATCAGCTGTTTGCTTAGTTTATTGTTTAGCTATGCCACTATTTTAACTAAAAATAGATAATCTCGTGGAAAATAAAGTAAACTATTATTATCTTTTTCTGACTGCATAATTGATGGAAGTGTAAGTATTTCGTTGTGCATGAGTGTGTTCTGACCCAAC